TACACTTTTTTATTTCCTTTTTAATTCTTTATTATTCAATGTTTATAGTTTCTTATACCTGTTGTTATCTGGTTCTTTTCTTTCCTCCACTTCGGGCCGAAACGTCGGCGAATGTAAAAATAAATACAATTATTTATTTTTAATATTTCATTTTGATTGATCACCCCAACCATCAACCCACAATTATATCTTTTTTTTCCATAATTTTGTTGAAAGTATCAGACATATTTGACTGAATACTCTTAAGATATTGTTGATTGGTCTTTAAATAAATGAGTATATATTCAAATCTATTTTCCACCATCTGTGTAGCCGATAGAGCTAGGAACAATTTATCCTGTTAGGTTAAGTTGTTACTTTTTGTTTTCCTGTATATTTAATTTCATATAAAAACATTCGTTAAGCGTGGATCAAAAAGTGTTTCAGATTTATAAAGAAGAATACATGTACAAATTATAAGTATTATAAGAAAAAATCTGTCTAAATAATATTTGATGTTGTTTAAAAATCGGTACTTTTAGCCTCGCTCTCTCCTACATAGATTTATAGTATAGGAACAAATAGCTCCAAGTTGTTTTAACCAATAATTATATTTGGTCTAAAAACAATAGTGGACGTCCAGTTGCTTTAAAATGTAGCAAACAATCCGCAAATTATTAATAATGTCCAAACGTTTTTATTAACACAATAATCATAATTTTCCTAATAAATGGTAAAATTGATTTTTTTTTTTTCTACTTCCAACCTTTAAGCTGCATTCAACGGTAGAAATGGTGTTCTTTCCTCTATATTTTTTTCTGTCTTGATTTCTTTCAACTAGATTTCAAAAGCTCTTCATCAAACCTAAGATTTCACATTTTGAAGGGAAGTTTTTGTTCGTCGGTCGATTTCGAAGGTTCCTAAATAGAAATTAACTGGAAAAGAAGCAAAATAGAAGTATTTCATCGTATTCATACAACTTCCTTTCTTGTTTTTATTATTATTCTAATTCAATCGGAACAATGATACTAGCATAGGTGAAATTTATGTCTATACGGCTGAGTTCATGAAAGGTAATGAAATGATTCTAGTCGTTAATTATGAAATTTCGCTGTCATTTTTTTTTCCATAATCCGTTTAATGGAATTCTCATGATTGATATTCTGTTAGACTAATGTGAAGGTGCAGTTTCGCGGTTAGTGATAGTTGACTGCTGCAGTGGGAATACACAACGGAGTATATTTCGTGGGGACGGCACGGCAGCATATGAATAATGATTCCCATACTGGTTAGTGTCGACCGCTCCCGAAGCTGTCAAGCTGAGTACCACGGTTCGCTCTTAAAGGTCCTTGTTGTGTTTCTAGTTATCACGTCGAAGATGGGCTTTGATAACAATGATATTGAGCAATTATTTTGATTTCGTTCATCCCAATCCAGTTCTCTATGACTTTTTTTTTATTTTGCACTATCATTTATTTATTCCGCACCTGTCAATTACAACTATCGACAATCAACAGATGTGCTGGCACAGTCATGAGAAAAAAATAAATAATAAGGCTTGATAGGCATGAGGAAAAGCAATACCCAGCGGCATCCCTTCCATGGATTTTACTTACTCACATACAATTACGTAGCTTCCTCATCCAGACCGTTTTCAGTCGTCTTCTGGAGTTCTCCGGCATAATAATAGTGACGTTTGTAGTAAGTTCGTATGGATTCATTGATCGTTGGCATGTGTAAGTCAGTGTGTAAAGTGTTGTTATTCACGTGCCAGGGTGCTTGGGTAATTAGTCGTAGTATCTTAGACTGAAAAGTTTGAAGTCGTTTTATTTGTTGGTTTTGCAATTCCATATATTTGTAGTCCATAAGTCCAGATAGGTTTCAATAGATATGTATAAATATTTAATTTCTGTCTTGATTTTAATTTAGAATGTCGTCTTAATAATGAGTGCAATAGTTTCTCTATGACGTAAAACATAAACATTGCTAGAATGCTGTGAAAAACAATATTTGGAAAAAGATAGAATCTTTTTAAGAAATACGTTATGATACATTTAATTATTGTTATAATATAATTTAGTAAGAATTACTTATTACTCATTGCGAATTTATGTATAACTTATTATTTATTTATTGTTCAGTTCAGTTCACCTCCACACGATAGGTTCTCTGGCAATATATATATATACTGTTGTAGAATCCTTTAGTTTTAAGAAAATCCATCAGGACCTTTCCATCTTTTTCCAAATCTCGGAAGGCTTCTTGAATGAATATGCGTGTGTTTAGTTTATTCCTTATGATTCTATGATGGTCACAATACACCAGGATATTGTTAGGTGTATGAGGAAAACCAAACCTGACGCAGGTAGGAGCTTGCCTCCAGACCGCGGAGAAGATAACCAAAGGTGCAGACTTTTCTTGGGTAGACGGTGGGAGGGAGAGGGTGGTTAAACGGTATATTTTTTAACATTTTCTTTTTTATTTGAACAAAGCGACATAATTTTGTTATACGAACAAAGCCATAATTTTGAATATTTAGATAAACATTACATACATACGTAACATACTTGTTATAATATTTTAAATTTAATTTTGTTTGTTATTTTATTGTTACTCCTCAGGCCTTAGATTCTAATTGCCTTTACAGTTACAACACATCTACTAATTGTCAAGCTTATGACAGGTTCTAGCGCTAACATTATGTGTAACAATCTATATCTCTTTAGAGTCATTATTACCTTTTTGTTACTTCCTAAAGCGGGACGAAGTTCGAATAAATTAATTTCTACGCTTGAAATAACCTTTAGATAAACTACTCGTTTCATTCATTTAATAAAACAAATGTTTCTGTTAGGAACAGAATGAAACAATGAATATTGTGCTGCAGTTGTTCTTTGATCAATTTTGTAATAAGTATCTAGGATAAGGAATGAGTTCCCCAGGTAATCATGAACATTAGGATCTGATCTGCTCCATTTTGCAATAGTTCTCTTCCAAATTCTAGCAGATCTTTATCCCACAATTGTAAGAGAACCATCAGTGGCGTACATTCATAATTTACACAAGTACCACATCTCAAAAGTTCTTCTGGAACTTCTAAACCTCTCTGGTAGAGTAAAGATGGTGGAATGCTCCTTGCGATATCAACTCTTTTTCATATTTCTGCCGGCGTTGTATCGTGAAGAAGTGTTGTTCCTTGTCCTTCTTAACATTAATGTTTTGTCTCGATGATATAATATGTTTGACATTTTCTAATTAATTTCACTTACGTATATATGTAATATACAGTAAGGGTAAGTATTGGGATCGAGAAAATTTTTGAATCTGAGTTTTCAACGGAAATACACGTTTCTAGGTACCCTGAGTCGAAAGGACCAAGTCCCGAAAAATGGTCTGTGTGTTTGTATGTTAGCAGCCTAGCTCAAAAACGAAACTGATATTACGTATTTATGATAGGTATATGCCTTAGATGTGACAGCAACTTTTTCTCAAAATCGGCTAACCGGAAGTGCCACTTTATATCAACGCTGAAAGACTTTTTTTTTTTTTAATTTGTCTAGTTACGCTTAAATATTCATACTCATGTTTAAGTTGTTTTTTTTTTTTTTAATAAGATTTTCTTCTTTAATGGTCATTGAAAAGAATAAAAATGCAACTGAACATTTAATTAATATTTAGTATAATACGAAGTGCTTTTTCAATTTCACCTAATAAACAGTAACATATAATAACCAGCGTCGAGGCGCTATGACGTTAAAACTTAAACCAACAAACAAATAAATCATCATAATAATACGCTTTAAGTTATCTCTTGCAGATAAATAAGAAGTAACATGAAACAATAATTAGGAAGAAAAAGTGCTTGCACAAGGCGGGTGTGATCCACGGGAGGAGGAAGGGTAGAGTTTCGGGCTGATGCCCCCCCCCTCTCCAAAATGGTAAAATATAACCATATTTTACAAAAAAAAAAAAATATTAAAAACTATCTCTTTAAGTATTCTTGTTCGTGTAATTACATTTAATAGGACTTCAAGAACCACTTAAACACCAATTCATATATGTAGTTAATTTCTTTATTTCTTTTTTAATTAATTATTGTTATATGTATATGAAAAAAAAATTTTCGGACAAAAAATTTCCAAAAATTTCCCCGGACCAAAAATTTCCCCCCCAAAAAAAAAATTAAATCCTGGATCCACTAGTGAGTGCTTGTGAACAACTATTAAACGGAAAGATAATAAAATATATATAAATTAGCCAACAACTAAGATTTGTACCTGGTGTAAGTTGTTATTATTTACAACTTTTACCAAATTTAGTTAACTTTTCTAAAGCGTATCTGAAGTGTTTTCTTGTCACAGGTAAAAATTTCGAAGTGTCGGCGTCGAATCTTCCGGTTCGCTAAGTCTATTGTTATTATATTTCTTCTTTTTTTTTTTTTTTTTGGAGCCAACGTTTTTTCAGTAGAAATGAGGTAAAGTTTTACATTGTTTGATTCCCTCTTCTTAGACTCCTGTAAAAATAAATTTCAAAGTATGTTAAAATGCTCCAATCGCTGAAGAATGGGGGACTGTTTCCTTAGATTTCAGTACGCGATAGAACTTCCTTCATTGTATAGGCGCAATTTATTGAAGGCAAACATATATAAATCGTTAAGCCTATCACCTCAGGTTCATTTTATAACAGCTATAATGGAGAATTCAGTGTAATACTGATGGATCTAATAAATGTCAATTATGAATTTATAATAGCGGACTGCGGCACACGGCAGATTAGGAACAGGAAAAAAAATTATCTTCTACAAAATAGATATTTTTTACTGTTCAGTTTGAATATCAGAATTGGTATCTACTACCTTTTTTATAATTACGTTTTATTTATTTGTAGAATTTAAAATTATCTCCGAACTAAAGAAGAAAAAAAAATCTGTAACCAATGAACTGTAATGTCGTCATATACATAAATTTTTAAAATGGTTCTGTTGATTCAGCTATTAACAACATACTAAAAAGTTAGAACTGCTTGATCTCTTCCTTGCAGGTTCTTTCTTTGATGTATAATAATTTTATTTGATTAGTAATTCCTAATGACAGTGCGTGGCACCTATATATAACCCACATATAAATTTTATTTTAATTGTTGTAATATTTCAAATTTTCATCATATGTGTATGATAAATTCATTCTTTGTTTTGCTTGATTGTGGTTTTATTACTAACCTATAATTATCATAAGTTCGTTATCTTTTTTATCTTTTAGACCATGGAAGGTAGTAATAGGTTATGAAAGGTTATAAATAAGTGTATTTCCATGCTTTGGCGTTAAATTCAAAAACTGAGATTGGTGTTTTTCCATGGTTGGTCATGTCAGACACTTGTGTTGTGGATCTGTGCTTGGACAAAACTGTAAAACTATCTAAATGGAAAGTTAGCGAAGGAACGATTGTTTATGATGGGAGAGTACTTCTGATTTATGAAGAAGGAGACAAAACCCATAAGTTCAAATCCAAACATGTTGGAACTGTGTCCAAATTACTGGCAAAAGAAGGCAGTTTAGTTAACCCTGGGTAGTGTAGAATTTTTCTGCCTTACAATTTTCCTAAATACAGTATTTACTGTAATTTAAAAAATACCTTACCTATTTTTATAAATGCTAAAATTCATTGCATTTTAGCCTCAGTTGTTAATTTAACTATCAATTTCTCTGTTGTTAATTTAATTTCTACATTTAATAGGGAGCCTTTGCTTATATTAGGCAAAGGCTGTTCTCATCCAACTGTCGTTAATGATTTATGTGCCGAGTGTGGAGCGGATTTGCAAAAAGATGGTAAAAATCAATCTCAAGCAACGATTCCTATGGTTCATAGTATTCCAAGTTTAAAAGTTAGTCATGAGGTATGCTCTTATTCATATTTTATACTTTGTTTATTATTAACAACCTCTTATCTTTCTTTTAAAATTTGTTTGTTTAAATTCTAACTTAATGTATTATTCTAGCAAGCACAAATAATTGGCCGTGCAGATACCACAAGGCTTTTAAAAGATAGGAAGCTTGTACTTTTAGTCGACCTTGATCAGACATTGATTCACACTACCCATGATACTATTCCCAACAACATGAAGGTATTGATAGTTATTTCTCAACGAAGCTTCTGAAAATTAAGTAATCTGTACCACTTTTATAGCAAATTATATTATCTTGTAACATTTTTATCTGTTGCACCTAAAACGGGTTCTCATGGAGCATATATTTTGTTTTATCAATATTGGAGAGGTTTTTCACAAATCTTAATCCTTTTAATTTAATACATACCTTCTTCTTTAATTTAATGACAAACACACATAGCTTTTCTTGGCCTGCTCAATCATTGTGTCCCAAACAACTCTTATCTGTAGTATCAACAACTATGTATCATCCCTGCCTGTTTCTTGTCCCACCTGATGTGTTCCTGTACGCTTTTAAAGGTCAACTTCACTCTTCCATTCTGATGATATGACCAATCCATTTTAGTCTTTATAACCTAGCAAAGTTGGAGATACTCAAATTGTGGTATTCACCGTACAACTCTTCATTTTGGCGCAGAAGCCAAGTTTTATTGTCTTTGGCATGTCCAAAATTGCGTCTCAGGATCTTCCTGTTAAACACTTGAAGGGTATACCAATTTGTTTTCTATTGTAAGCAGAATATTTTTACCCTTTTTTTTTTTTAAATCTTGTTTTTTACTTCAAATTAACCAGTAAAATTATGAACTCATTGTACTGGTAGTATTATTGTTGGAAGATAGCCTGGCAAGTGGACTGGTTGGTATTTTTGTCTACTTCTGGTGGCTATTTTGAGGTTGCTCCTCTTTTCTAACTTGAGTGACAGTGTTAAAATTCATTTCAAACCTAAACAGAAACAGTTGTTAACTGAATCAGATGTGATTGATAATTTACCATGAATTAAATCTATGTAGCTCCAAGACCCTTATCCCATTGTGCTTGAACGCCATAGTCTCAATAAATTAGGATAGTCTGCTCTTTATTAATTATGAGTTGTTAACACTATATTTGATTTTTGTTTCATTTCAAATTTAAAGTATCATGTCTAAAATTATTTTCTCAATAATTTAACTTAAAAATTTTAAATATTTGTTTTAGGAAGTTCATCACTTTCAGTTATTCGGATCAGGCAATCCTTGGTACCATACCCGTTTAAGACCTGGTACTCAAAAATTTTTAGAAGAAATGTCAAAGTAATTTGTTAAATAATATTTATTGTATTATAAGATGTGTTAAAACTTATTTATTATTTCAAGCAATAGAATTTGTTTATCTGTATTCTGAGGAGTGCTGTGACTTGTTGAATTGGTTTAGTGGTAGCTTTTTGAAGTCCTTCATAACTTTATTTTATTTTCAATGTGCGAGTATAGTAATTACAGAGGTATATTACTCTTGCCTACTAAATAATGACCAATATCACACTAAGCCAAATAATAGCCGACCACCAAGCTGGATTCAGAAGAGATGGAGTTCCTTAGCTAAAATCTTCAACCTAAGAGAAATGCTAGAAAAATGATCGGAAGTAATTCGGAATGTGCACGCCTTATTTATCTATTTCAATGTAGCTTATGATTCTGTAGAAAGAAACTGACTTTAAAAGATCATGATTGAACAGGGAGTTCCCAGGTTGTTGGTGAGATTAACAAAGGTGTATACAAATGATCATTAATGTCGAGTTTTAGTACAAGGAGAGGTATCTGAAACCTTACAAGTTCAAACTGGCTTGTGGCAGGAGATGGGCCATCTCTGATGCTGTTCAACTTAGCACTGCAGAAGCTAGTTAGAACATCACATGAAAATAGAGGAGTGCACATCGGAACGAATTCTAAAATCATTGGATATGCAGTGGATACAGCAGTCCTTGGAAACAATCAAGAGGATATTGAGAGACACACTTAGTCTCTGATAAGAGAAGCTGAAGACTTTGACATACAAGTTAATGAAGACACAGGCTTACAATTACAATAATAAAAAAAATAAAGACACAATATATTAGCTAGTCAAAAAGATAAATATATATAAATATGACAAATAAACAAGAAAAAAAATATATGGTACTAAGCCGAAAATTCTCTTCTAACAACAGGATCTGCATAGATGAAAATCGTTCCTGAGAATAGACAAATTGAAATACCTAAGCACACTGACAACCTAAATGAATGTCCAACGATTAGAAATAGACCTGTTTATAAGGCAAAGTTTTCTTCTTTCTTTCAAAGGTAATAAATTTCTGTGAATCTGAAATTAACGCTGTTGAATGGTAATTTTAAACAGAAACTATGTCGTGTCACTCTATTATTTTGTAATGGAATATGAAAAAATGCAAGTGTAATGACGAGTTAACTTGTGGTCCTTCAATAATGTCTGGTTATGAAAAGACAATGCTCCAGTCAACAATGCTTTGGCTTGAAAAGACGAGCTAACTTGTCACCGGTCAGCAATGTGTTAAGAGTATCCAGTGCTATGATAAAGGTAGCTCTGATGTACGGTTGGGAGACATGGACACTAAACAGCAACCTAGACAGAAGAATTGATAGATTTCAGAGAAAAATCCTCTGCCTGAGTTACAACATATGGAGGAAAAAATCCAATAAAGAACTGCTTACAGAACTGGTCAATCAATAATACTCATGATACGAAGGCAAGGATGTTAAGATGGACCGGGCATGTAACTCAGGGCAATCCATCAAGGGAAGTCTCTATGCAACAATGAATACCTCAATAGTAGGCAGTAGATGATGTGGAAAGCCAAAAACCAGAAGGATAGATTGAATCAGAAGAGATAGCTGCATCCAAATAACCAGAAAGCAATAGCCCAAGATATAAAAAAAGAACCTCATACTTTCTTTTCTTATAAGTTAGTTGAGCTTTTCTGTTATAACTGTACATTTAGAGGGATTGGTTATTAGATTTACTGTTATGTAATTATTTGTTTTAAAATATAACCTTTTTTTTCATTTTTTTTTTTTTGTCTTTCTATATTTGGGTTAAAATTATTATGTCTGAAAAGACATTTTTAGCGATTGTTGAAACCATTACTGGTATATGTATTATATAGAGATCATATTTGCCTTTTTTTGCTTTCTCCTAGAAGTAAACAAATGCCTACAGATTTACCATTTGTGTTGGGTCTTAACAAATTGAAGGACTTCTCAATAGAGGTAACATTCCTTATGATGTCTAAATTCATACAGTTCTTAAGTTTTGGATTATAAAATTAAATCGAAGATTTTCGTTTGATAGCAATGTAGAATATTTTTTTGGGGATTTGTTCTTTTACTTTTTATAATTTAGTTCAAACAAAAGTATCATTCCACTTAAGTTAATAAATAGTCTTGATTTATTACAAAGCATTAAATAAACACATGACTGCTTCATCATCATTATTGTAAAGTACATCATCAAAGTTGACTGTATGAAACCTTATTGCTGGTAATTCAAAGGTTATTAGATTCCTCATAGTTTTATATTATTACTCAATTTTAGATTATTTATATATTTAAATTTAAAACATATAACAAACAAACAAGTGGTTAATTATGTTGTCAGAGAAGGAAAATGTAAGTAACCATGTCAGAGTAATTTTTACTAAAACATATCGAAATTGTTTTCAAATTGGATTTAATCTCTTTAGAAATGATAGTAAAAAGAGGTATACCTCAAGGAGAAGTAAGCTCTTCAAACATTTGTACATTAGGTGATGTAATGAAAGTTGTGTAGGGGAAGGTAAGAGAATAAATATGATTAGTGAATGGTTAATCCATTTTGAATTCACCTATGATCAGTTATAAAAGCTATGGAAATGTTATAAGAAGTGAAGGTGAAAGCTGTAGGTCTAATGAGCAGTTTGAAAAAAATCAAAATTGATTAATATTAATATCAAGGCCCGGGCAGAGTATAGCAGAACGGTTAGCGCGCTATACTAGTAAAGCAAAGATAATAGGGTCGAATCCCAGTTCTACTTCCCAATACGGCTGGTCTCCATGAGAAGTTAGACCATTACTCTCTTAATTAGAGGAGGCCTACAAGTTGCAAAATACTTGTAAGAGCAGGCTATATATAATATCAAGGCCCAAGCAATAATTATTGAATGGACCAATGACTTTATTTATCTTGAACACCAAATAAGCATCTTGGGGCAATTAAATGAGATGATAATAATAATATTATCAGAGAGAAGAGCCAAGTGGAGGTATAAGGTATTTTTACAAAAGCAAGAACGATATGAAATCAAAGAAAAAACTTTGTGAAGCTACAATTATATAGATTTACATTTCCATTTGATCTAATTTTTTTTTTACTATGATTATACCAATTGTGATTGTTCAATTTCAGTTCTTAATGATGGTAACAATATTTATATTACTTAAATATTATTCTAAAGAAATCTAATTTTGTTGTATAATTTAGGTATTTTGAACTGCATATTTGTACCTTTGGAGTTCGCCCTTACGCACATATGGTAGCTCATATTTTAGACAAAGAAGCTAGGCTTTTTTCTAATAGAATATTATCTAGAGATGAATGTCTTCATTATAATTCTAAACATGCTAATTTGAAGTAAGTTTGTTATTTTTTTTTAATAATTAATTTAGTGTTAATAATGTTATTTTTATTATGTTTGTTGGTTATGCATAAACTTAGTTTTGATGATGTTTGCAGAAAATAAAACATATTTTATAATTAAATAATTTATGCAATTATAAAAGATTTTTTAAAAGTTAATATTTCATGTTTTGATTTTTGTAATTACAGAAAATATTTTGCCTCCTAGACTAGACAGTAAAGCACATATTTAATTTAAGTAAATATCATTGATTTCAGTTCATCACCTTTATGTTGATGACTGATAAATTATATAAATATTATGACATTGTTCATTTACTTTCATAATTTGGTTAATAGTTTGAATTCCCACCCTTCTTCTAAATTTATTATAAAATAGCCCAATTACTGAAATTAATTGTAAATCCATTGCTATCCATGAACATTCGTAAAAATAATGCCACGTAAATAATTTTTTATATTCAAAGTGTTTTTAAATAGTTACATATTAAATTATATAACATGTTAAACAATAACATTTATTTTATTTCTGAAAACTTTCCCAACCATCGTTGTCGTTTTGATGATGGTTGCATTAATGGTAAATTGCATTAAGGAGGAGAATGAAACAGCTTTTCACATCATATGCAGATGTGATAGATTTACAAGGCTGAGGCTGGTGGTATTTGGGGAGGAACAAATGGATCTCCCCAGAAGTTATGAGTCGGTCAATCCAATCAGCCTACTTAGATATGCAGAAGTGACAGGATTAACGTTTTAATTAAAACGACCAACTGAAATTGGCGCACAATGGACCCATTAGGGGTCAACGTGCTCATGGCCAAAACGAAAAAGAAAAAAATGATAAATTTTATCTTTATAATCACTTTATTTCCAGTTAACATAATCGTTTAATAAGCCGTTATCAAGTGATTATGTAAATAAGGTGACTGTTGTGATTTTTCATCTTATTAACACATAGTCAACCTGTGATTTTTTGCACTGCCATTCACAAAATGCCGTTTCTTTATCTCTGTTTGGTAAAAATTAGAATTAAAATATTTCTTTATTGAGTAATATTACATTGTCACATTCAAGGACACTAGTAATAGTGATAGAATTGCTCAATTTAGAATAATAAGAACAAGCATAAATTATTTTCTGTAATTTTCGTCATGCAGACAAAGTTAAGGACTCTTCATCAATGGTCCATCACATTGTCCATCTAATCAAAGGAATGTAAAAAGGCATTCAGTAACTTATCGTAAACTAATGGGACTGTTGAAGAATAATTATTTTATAATTCTGAGATTAGCATTCATTTAAGAAACTAAAAGAGAGGTATTTTGAAACTGTCAAAAAGTATAATCTGAAAGCAACCAAATAAGAGTGGAATCTCTAAAATTACCTAATAAACTTGTAAATATCTGAGGAGGTAGACTTATTTTTGAAGTAGTGTGCTGATGTACGATAGACTTGTCTAATTTTAATCATTTACATTTAAATATGACTTCATATAGAAAGAGGGGCCAAAGGTATTTAGATTCCAATCTTTGCTAGTGCTCTTGCATCGAATCTTAAGACTATTATTATTTATTGATGTCTGTGTATATCCTGCTAATCCATTTTAATATTTACAGAGCATTGTTTCCTTGTGGGGATGAGCTTGTTTGTATTATTGATGATAGAGAAGATGTGTGGGATTATTCTCCTAATGTAATACCAGTCAAGCCTTACCATTTTTTTCGAAACACTGGTGATATACATTCTGATCCTCGTGTAACTCCTTCAACAGGAGTAGCAAATGACTATTTGGCACCAGGTCAGTATTTCTATATCCCATTCATGAATTGGGTTATAAGTAAACCCCTTAATACAGCACTCATTTACAGGAGTAAAAGTCAAAGAAAAGCCTCCTGAAGATGAATCGGAACACAATGAGCTTGCGGATGATATAGAAGTAGAAGAGGAAGATGATTATTTAATATACCTTTCCAGCATATTGAAAAGAGTTCATAAAATGTTTTATAATGTTTACGACAAGGTATTTTTTTGGAAAATTTTTGTTTAAAATTTTCTAGATTTTCTTAGTTGAAGTCTTGAAATATTTGATTTGTAATAATTATGGATTATGGGTTTTATTCAACTGATTTTACATATTCTGCTAAAATCTAATTTTTTTTTTTTTAATCTCTCTTCACTGAAAGTTCATACCTGTCTAAAAGTTTTAACTTAAAATTAATTAATTTCTAAAAGTACTCCTTATTTTATTTAACATTTCATTGTAGCGTAAATATTTTCTTGTTTTGAAAACATTAAAAGTGTTCTAGAAAATGGAAGGGGTTCCTGAAGTTAAGTGGGTGATAGAACGCCTGAGGTCAAGTGTCTTGGAGGGTTGTGAACTTGCTTTCTCTGGTCTTATACCGTTGCGAACCAAATTAGAGGAATCGGAACCTGCTCTAGCTGCTGTCAGGCTTGGAGCAAAAATATCTCCAACCTTGCAACCTTCAACTACACATCTGATCGCAGCTGGAAAAGGAACTGCTAAGGTATTAATTATTTTTAAGTTCTAAAAACAGTTTTTGTAGCTCAGTGAAGGTTAGATCTATGTTTGAGTCCCATGTATTTCATGTTGTATCAATCATGGATTAACACTTGCGCTTGGAGAACTCTCCTGGAACATTTTCATCCCCTGTAAAGTCTCTGATGGATGGAAAATCTGGCAGTTATACATTACTAATTATAGCAAACATTTTATATTTTTAATTGTATGTAATGTTGTAGCTGTGTCTCATTTATAAATTTATGTTTTTTATGTATTGCGATATATTTATGTATAAAAGTACTTTTATAAGTTATTATTTATTGAAATATACATTTTTTTTATTTTTTTATTTCTTAGGTACACCAAGCTAAGAAAATGAAAGGTATAAAAGTTGTGAATCCTCATTGGCTTTTGACTTGTTCGCACAGGTAATCATTAATCTTATTGTTCAGAGATTATTATAATAGAGTCTGCATATGTTCAGGGGGCCTGTATAGGCATAATCGGGGTTCTCAAAACAGTTTTGGCATTAGCTTTAGATTCCCTTATTTTTTTATTTCATTCAAATAACTCGATTAATAAAAGTTATACTTGGACAAAACGTTTTGTGTTTGTTGTTACTTAACTAGTTCCTAACATAATCTAACATCTCTAGGGTTAGTTAGGAAACAGATTTTGTTCAAGAAGAGATCTATTACATTATTTAGAAACTCTGATAGCTCGCTGCATTAGGTTAAACATCTCTGCTCTAGTTTAGTGTTAGCTATTGGATTAATGAATGCTATCTTTTAAGATAATTAATCTTTATGAAACAATTATACATGCTGGATGGAAATCCCATTTGCAAAAATTTATAAATATATCCATATATCTACTTTTTTCCATCATATTCCATTACTAAAATCAAAATAATACTCTTTGTTTCAGCCGGGTTGTATAAGTTATTCAAATTACGAACTTTTGTTTCATTTTTTGTTTATTTTTTTTTTTTTTTACTATGATATAGGTTATTGTCGATAGTTATTAATATATTTTTTATTTCTATTCAGGTGGGAAAAAGTTGATGAACGACTTTATGACATAGGGGCAGATTATGGTCCCTTACCGCCCCAGTTCTGCCGGACTGGTGCAAAAGGAGTTCCTACTAGTCTCATTACTCTTTCACAGGTAACGTGTGTCATAATCTCTCTTTCAGAATTTACTTTTTTATTTAAGTTTTTATCCCTGATGATTTAAATAAATATCTCGAATATTTAATTGTGAAATTATTGATTAGACTTGATTACAATGCGATTTTGCTGGTTTATATTTTTTTAGTTTCAATAGTAAAAAAGAAAGAACTGGAAATATTATTTTTATCTTTATTCTTCTATTTGGCTTTGCATTGGTTATTAAGAGGTTGAAAGATTGAACTTATTAAGTAGTTTTTCTGTTATTAAACATTGTGTATAAGGCCAATTTGAGAATGTTTTTACTATTTTTCAAGGTCATCTAATAGTAATCAGGTTTTGATTTTGAATTTTCAAAGCAAGAAATGCCATCTTGTTTTTGTTGCTTTATTTTTTGATTTAGGTTTGTCTTTTCTGCTCGCACATTGAATAGCTGTCTCAAGAGACTTAATAGGCATAAAAGACTAAAAGTCGTTATTTCTTTTCAGAAAATACTAATTTCTACATGAATGAGTAGCATAAATTATGTGAACAAGAAAAAATGGATGCAGGCCACCTAGACAAATGTCCTGCTTTGACAGACATAAGAAATAAAACATTTGTGAATGATTATATAAAAAAATCAAACTTATACTGGGCAGCAAGATAAGCAAGATGGTCGAATAACCAATGGCTATGGTATAAGAAAAAAAAAAAAAAAACATGAATGAGTAGCTTGCTTATGTTTTCATTAAAAACTCCCTAGTAATTCAAAGTTGATTATAGTCTATCTTATTGAAATGAAAATTTCTTTAGGCGAGCTTAGCAGTTTTTTCTTGTGGGTAGTGAATGAGACAGAGCCGTCACGCTCAGCTGTGTAATGTCCGTTCGGGTAGTTGGCTTGAGTTTACTAATTGTTGCATTTGGATTAAAATATATATAAGTAAAAATCGGACTTGCATACTGTAAACAATGGGGGTTTTCATTATTGCATCTTCTTATTTAAGGGGTTATTGTTATGAACTCTACCAAGAAGTTACACTGAAAATTTATGAAATTGCACTGAAACTAGCAGTAAGTAAATGTTATAAAGAGCTCTACAGGAAAGGAATGCTGATCAGAATCAACAAGAGTATGGAGAACCTGCATGTAGGATGGGCATAGGAAGGAATCCTCCTATAGTGCAACAGCAGAGAGATGGACCACTTCACCTTCCTTCAAACAATGAAGGACATTACTGGGGGATTTAAAATGTATTATACTCTGATTGGGAAACGAGAAGGGAACAAAAAAATGAATCTCCACATCCTCAAATTTGTTAAGCTACCTTTGCTTTTATACGGTTTTGCAAAGTGAATAATAATTAGCAGGCAGTAGAAGTGAGTCACAGCAGCTGAAATGAAGTTCATCAGGAAGATTGCGGTTAAAACAAGAAGGAATCGCATTGGTAATGAGAGGATCAGATTACATCTATGAAGTCCTAGAATGCCTCCTATGGTGGCCAAGTGGAAGTGATTTGTCCATCCAGTCAGAATGGAAGACCAAAGGGGGAACCAGCTGAAGACTATTAACTATATTTAGAAGGCATCAGGATTATGAGACTCATTGACTTAAGTATCTGTGGCAGTAAACTGTAGTCATCTTAATGATCTTTACCATTTTACTTCTTCAATGCTAAACAGTAAAGATAAAATACTTTCATATGTACTGAAAATTAATGGCAGTGGGATAGTTCAATGGCTAGGGCAAAGAATCCAAAACTCAAGGTACTGGGTTCGAATCCGGTTAGTGACAGCTTATTATTTATTCTGTTTCGTCGGCCGTAGATCAACTCTGGGGTGGGTACTCTTAATTAATTAAGAGAGAAAACCTGACATCTGAACGTGATTGTGCACAAATCTTCTCCTTGCACCAAGAAACAGTACTTATATGAAGGGAAACCCAAAAATAGCGGGAATTGGGCTGCAATAGGGAGGGCGAGTAGGGGAACCCGTTGTCCGTTAGGAACACTTCTCCTGAGTTAGTGTGTGAAGTTGTGTCACTGTGAGTGCATCGGTTCACCCATGAAAACTTTTTTTGTGAATTTTCACCGATTGTCAAGTGCACCCTTGCGGCTGTGAAATTTTCTTTCCTGCCGCGGAAACTATTTTAATCCCTAAAACTGCTTATAGGGATCCTGCTGTAAGTAAAACCAGAGTCTGCGACTTGTTTTCACCTTTTTAAAAATGGAGAAGTGTCAATCAACCCCATGAAGGGCACCCCTCAACGGCAACAAGTGATGAAAACGTGGACAAAATCAATGCTCTCGTTTGTGAAGACCGTTGCCGAATGGTTGATCAACTCTGTGAGATGTCTGGTATATCATGGAGTTTAATCCAAAGGATTTTATATGAAGATTTGCACCCGAAAAAAGTTGCTGCCAAATTCGTTCCTCCCAAGTGAGCAAAGGGAGTGTCCACTTCAGGCATGTTTTTAGCTTTAAAATCAGCTGAGCCGTCTGAGTAGCTCTGAATTTATTTTTCTTCTGAAGGTGACTAGTGGCGATGAATCATGGTGCTATAGATACGACCAGGAAACAAAATTTCATTGCCGTACGTTGCTCTCAAGAATCGGCCATCACGTTTTTGTCGAAATAGAAAAAGTTGTTTCATTACAATAATTCTCACGAGTGATCTAATGCACTTATAGCGACACAACTTCACACACGAATTCAAGAGAAGTATCCCTAACGACACCAAGGCGAACAATGGGTTGTAGTGGTTCAAGAATAAAGAATAACTGAGAATTAATATTATGTAACTTTTAAATTTATGTTATCATTATCAATATATTCTTCCCTGCTGAACAAGGATCGTCGTTTTTTAACTAATTTCTATTGTAGACAGTATGTTAATAGTTAACCATTTAGTATAACTATCCTCTCGGTAATACTAGAATTTTTTTTTAGTTTCAATTTTATCCTCCTAGTAACTCGTACTCTGTCCCACAATGGTATAAAAAAAGAAAGAAGTCATCATCTGGTAAGCTTATTTGTGAAAAATAAAAGTTTATTTAGCTTAAATATTTATTTCATTGATAAATTGTATCACTTTTAATTTTTTGTTAAATAATATGTTTATTATCTGCCTTATCATTTCAACTAATTTCATAATAATCTGTCTCTACTTTTAACAGTGTTAGTGGTTAAGTTATTTGATGGATTTTCCATATCTACTTTAACCTTATTTATCAACCAACAAATTTTTTTTTATTTTTTATTACCGCTGTCCTTTTTTTTCTTATTTTAAATTTTCTTTACATGTTAAGTTGTAGCATTGTTTGTTCAACGTGATTTTTTATATTCTCATTAACTTTAATACCTCTATTAAGGCTACATTTCTTACATTCAACTTAACTTGTTGAAAGAAATATATATATATATATACATATATATATATATATATATATATATTAATTTTTAATAATATTTATCAGCTCTATTAATTATTTGTTTATTATTATTTATATATCTTACTTTTTAATAATTTCCTCTCTTCACTCTTAAAATATAATTCTTAATAATAATTTTATTTCTTGGTTTACTTATTGTTTAAACTAATTCTTATAGGAAGACATGGATGCCATGGCAGAAGAAGTTGGAGAGCTCTCTGATAGTGACTCAGGAGAAGATGGTAAGACTAAAAATGGTATTTATATTTTGCCCATTCCCACACCATACTTCTGCATTTGTGCTTTTATGCCACTAAACAATGATTAATAATAACTGAAGAGAAGGATAGTTGGCTTGATCAGTTAAAATAAATAATTGTATTTATTGTGAAAATAAATACAATTATTTATTTTTACTACTTTATTTTGACTGATCACCCCAACCATCGTTCTATTCAATTATTCACTACAGTCAACCATCATACCCACATGATTAATAACATTTGATGTTTAAATTTAGATTTATTGTAAATTGCTTGGTATTTCTCAAAATATGATATTTGTTATTATCATAATAAGGTAATGGTGGTTAAAGAGAGAGTGGTGTCTTCCAGTGAAATTGCAACTGCTATTTTGTTTTTATACTTCAATTATATGATCTATATTGAAGATCTAGTGAGAGACTAAAAAAGACCCATGGATGTTGCTGCTGTGAAGGCTATTGATAATTCACCCCACTCCAAATTCCTCACCAAATGTAGCGGGGAGTGGGAAATCCTGTGTGGAATTTTTAGATTTCTGTGGAGCAGCTGGAATTCCTTTAATCTTAAACTCAGCTGAAAATAATTGTTTTATTCTGAGGAAACGTGGTTTTTAATTTTTTTTTTTTTTTTAAAACGAATTAGATTGAGCCATCAGATTTCCGATGTGTAATGCTCGAGTAAAGTCGGCTGGAGTCGACTAATTGAAGTTTTTTTGTATATGGTTTAAAATATCTCAAAAACTAAAAATCCAACCTGCATATTGTTAGCGGGGAAAATGTTCATTTCATCCTCTTTGCAATGAGCTACTATTATTCAAAATAATATCATAAAGCGATGCCGTGTTAGAGAGATGAAGAGAGAAAAAATAGTGTCGAAAACGAAAATATCTGAGAAACTAAAAATCGAACCTGCATACTGTAAGTGAGGAAATGGTGCAACACTTTATCCTCTCTGTAATGTGCTACTATTTATACTTTATACTTCATATTATTAATCTCGCCTTGTTGATATTTACAAGCACACACCTTTGTTGTGTTTTTTTTTAGCAGCTTAGAATGAAATAAAAATGTATGGGTAATCAATTAGGCAAAAGTATTGTATTGATTTCTCAACTTTTTTTTTTTTTCAATTTTCTCCGATCACTTTTCATCTCTCTTCACAATCATTCCCTCCTACCCTATTCTTTCTATTTGTAGCAGTGTTGGTGAGTAGATGGAAATTACACATTTCTTCAATCTTTGTAGCCTTGTCTTTTTACTCCATATTTGTTAGGTCTATCTGCAGTAGTGGATACATCTGCAGGCACACCTGCCATTTGCCTAGGATGAGGAGTGGCAAAATTTTAATGAAATTAGTAATAAAAAACAAATAAATTAGTAAATAAAAAACAGCTTGGTGCACATACATTTATTAATTATTTTCCCATAGTTTTTAACTATTAAACTATTACTGTTGAAGCTAAGAGGGGCGATATCAAAAATTCTTAAAACAAATCTGTTCCTGCCTGTCTCTTACTTCTCAGCCATGGCTTCCACATTTATCAATAATGATTTTAATCTCCCTATCTCTCTTTAATTTCAGTTGCTGTTGATGCCTTTAAAAAAAATATAATTTTATGAAATTGTTGTATGGAGGTGACTGGGTGAATTTTTTTTTTTACAATCAGAAATTTCTTTTATCAATTATTTTACTAATTTTCATTTACTATGTAAAATAAAGTGGGCAGAGGGAAAACTATCCACCCTCAGACTAAAAATGTAATTATGAATGTATATAAATTCATGATAGGGTTTTGGGGAGGTGGAACTTGGGTGGAGGGAAGGCTGCCCCCTTCCCCTACATGTAAACTCCTTTTAGATCCTCTATAACAGCTACTAACATAAACACACATCAGAATAAGCATAATAAAAACGTAACAGTACAATATCTCCTATCCAACAAGCTTCTGGTTTATGAATTGTAACAAATTTCTAGGACAACCACACTTTGAATTATATCTCAGGATTGAAGAGAAGATTTCAAAGATTTATCTGCTCTGAAATCGGATTATGATTTCTAAAATGTGTGCATTGTTGAAATGATTAATGCAATGCAACAGTAAAAAAAATGTACATGACTCAATGTTTTTAAATTATCTATAATAATTTATTGATGTTAAGTGTAATGTTGTGATGGTAATTTTTAAGATACAGACTAAGAAAAATATCTTTCTTATTCTTCTAATGCTAAAATCTTTTCTTTTTTTTTTTTTTACCTAACTTAACTAATTTAGCTAACTTCGACTTTTTAAGTCATGAGTCTTCCTAATGCTAAAATCTTTTCTTTTTTTTATCTATGCCTGCTAACTTCGACTTTTTAAGTCACGAGTCTTCCTAATGCTAAAATTGGCATGTCAGATTTGTAAGTCTGTACAGCTAAATGATGCATCTAATGAGACCCCATAATACATTTAATTGTTTACTAATATAATTTAATGTAGGCTTTAGAATTTTTATTGATTATTTAATCTAATTTTCATTATTGAAAATTATATTAAATATTACTGTATGTATATCTAATAATTAAAATAAATATTTAATTCATAAACTATCAATGCTTTAACTATTTAAATAGCAAAACATTTGGAAAGTTGTGTAATTTGTTGTTGAGAAAGTTTTTAAATAAATATTTAGATTGATTATATGCTTATCTGCATACATTTTTTATTTTATCTATTAAAATGAAAAATGTATGTTTAGTTTACTCTGTATATCATAATTGTATTTCACCAATTACTTTATTAACGAAAAGTAATTTTCAACCAGAATTAAAAATGACTTTCCAATAAGAGATATTTGAGAAAATAGATTAATGTTATAACAATTAATTTATTTTCATCTCAGGACAGAAATCCTTCTATTTTCAGAAAATGGAGAAGACACCAGTGCAATCCCTAGTAGAGAAAGTAGTAATCCTAACTCTGAATCATCTTTAGATGAGGAAGATGGTGAAGAAGATTTATCCTTACTTGGTCACCAAATAGAACAAGGGCTTTCAGATGATGGTTAAAGCTTATTAGATTAAAAATACACATGTACCTCCTAATAAATTAATTTCAATACCCATTTCCTTGGTCACTATTATGTAAATACATTGTAAATCTATTTTATATTTAGTGTTTTCATTTTTAATTGTAATTTCAGTCTGAAATTAAAAAGTAATTTATTCAACAGATGTGTGTGGGTGGGTATTATCTATAATCTGCATGTGTTCATAAAATAAACTTTAAAAATACAAGTATATATTGTTATTGGCATGTACAAAACAAGAGTGTTATAATACCTTTGTTATCTAATTTATTTAAATGATTGTGTACATTTGAAGGTTATTTTTAAATAAACAAAACTTGTAACAGTGAGTCCCTTTATTTATAACCTTTTTGACAGATTGTTTACATCTCAGTGCTACCAACCTTAACCTGTATAAAATTTTCTTACCGATTTAATTCTGCCGAAGTCGAAGTATTCTGCAGTAATTGCTTTTCAAACATTGTATTTATTTCTTTTTTTTTCCTCCCTTGTACTTTATTCATGAAGAAATATGTGTGCTTTCAAAAATGTGGTTGAATATATCACCTTGTTATCTGTTAAGATTCATTCCACTTGGTTTTTTTGTTCTGAACATTTATATTGATGTTTAGGATGTAAACTTAATTATTTTTCTCCAATATTGGGCTTTAAAAACAATATTTTGTATGAAAGTCATGATTTAATGATAAGAGAACTCGGAGTTCGAAAAATGGCTGCCTGGTTGATGTACGAATACAATGTCTCTTTTATCATTACTTATATATGACATAAATTCTTTTTAAGTGAAATCCGGCCATAAAAGATTAACAATACGTTTGACCATGTCGGGTGAAAAGTGAGTTATATTGTTTCTAGTGTTGTTCTTTATTATTACTTATAACCCTTGACCAAATCAATATTTGACTTGGGTTTGGCCCTTGTAAGAATTTCATTTTATGATACTTTTTGCGTTTTAAACGGAAACCTTTACTTTTTTCTCCCAGTTTATAGTTTATTTTACGGGAGTTTAAAAATTTGTCAAAATTTTATTTTCCTGACGTTCGTTTTGTAAATAAACTTGGTAACATGTAAGTTGCTGAATAATACCAGTTTTACAAGAATTTAACATTTTCCATTGTCATTATTTTCTGTTTATATTAACAATAATGATGAGATACACTAGTAGTGTAACTTTTTAAAATTTCCTTTACAGGATTCATAATTGTCAGAGATAACTCCTCGGTTGCCTGTTTTCAGCTATTAATTATATTTTTGTGGATGTGGTACTTTTACTATTACCCTAGTGATAAATGCAATTGTGCTTTGACATGTTTAGGGTTGAGTGGGTTGAAATCATCGAACCTAAAACTAAAGAACATATGTATGCTAACTTGGCTACTGGAGAATGTGTATGGGATCCTCCAGCAGGTGTTCCAGTGTATGTATTGTTTTCTTATTTATATCAAGTGCATTAGAACTATTATATTTATTTTTCTCTTCTAATTCACCATCTCAGTTAGTTATGAGTTGTATATTGTATCAATGTTTACCTAGTTACAGCATAAGTGCTTTGTGTTAATAGTAAAACTTTTACTCGAGAATTTTTATTGAATAGAACTATGAAAAATAGTATAGATTATTATCGTTTCCTTCAATCTCTGGATGAACATTTCGAGTGTCATAAATATTTATTTTTTCTTGCAACAAACCATTTTTTGTACTATTAAAAGCATCTCGTAATGATGAAACTTATTATGTATATATTAAGTGTTTAATTGAATTTATGAAGTTCGTATTGTACTACTTTTAGAAAAACAGATTATATATACAATGCAGGACTGTGTGCTGCCAATTTATTTTACGGTTCAATATTCTTAAACTAATTTAAAAGTAGTTGTTACTATTTAAAGTATTTTTTGTTATATTTGTTAACCGTGCTTATGTACATTAATGCTTTTATTTGTTTTGTTTTTTCTTTTTTTGTGATCGTTTTGTGACTAATGGTTTTCATTTCCTTATTTATTTTTTAATCATATTTATTAATTTAAATATAATTTTTTCTGCAGATATTCGTTTTTGTTTTTCTGGAAAAGGTTCTAATATTTAGGATAATTACTTTTTATTGAGTTTCATACAATTAATTTTAATCTATTTCAGATCTCCTAGACTATGTTGATGCTGCTTGACTTTTATTTTATTATTTTGTTTGTAACTGAATAAAATAAAATATTGAGAATTAGAGAAGGAAGTGGTTTAAAAAAGTTCATGAGTATTAACAAATAATAGAATTTTTAGTGATCTCTCTCAAGAACTCCTCTTTGATTTTTTTGATCTATAGAACTACCACTATACTACTTGCCGAAGAAATTTAAATCTTGAAAACCTTAATGTTTTATTAATTTATCTTTTTTTTTTTCTTACTTTTTATATTTTGAAAATGTTTTTCTGATTTTAAAATGTATTTGTGGCTTTACAGATAGATGTTTATATTAGGAAATTTTTGTTTTCATAAGAATGGTACAAAAATGAAGCAATGACTGATAATTCACATTTAACTGAAAGTTTTTTCTTATACCATTTCATTCCGTTTACTTTGTTATAGAGAGAGCATATTCTTAATTCTTTACTAATTCCATTAATTGATTAAAATTATCTGAATAAACAAAGCAGTTTCGCTTCAGGTTATCTACCTACTTATCCATTACCTATTTAGTTTATGATCATAGTTAGAAGTTTTACAATATTTTTTTTCAGAAACATTGTTTAGACTAAGCAACATCATTATTTTATTTATATCATGTTGACTTAAAACAATTTAACAGCCTTCCAGTTTTCAGCATAATTGATTTTCCATTGGTCACTAATACAAAGCAACACTTTGTTTCAAACTGAAGTTATGTTCAGAAAATTGCAGTATTTAATAAAGGGTCAAACCAAAACTATTGCAAAATAAAACTAGTATCAATAGAATCTTCTCTTCATGATTCGAAAAATCCAGTCATCGTTTAGGTAAATTTGAAACTATTGAGGGGGAAAAAAACTGCAAAAATGCAAATGAACTCAAATTCTATCTCTAATTAATTATGTATGACTTATGAAAACAGTTAAATCTCTACCACCAAATTTATGTAATACTTTCCTTAAACAGTTGTAAACTGTATCGGTTTCATAGTTTTTCATTTAGTCCTTTTTGTTATCCTTGTCCCATTTTCAACTTGACAAAAATTGAGAACAATGACTAGGCCATTTATAATAATTTGCATTGAAAAAAAATGGACGAAGTTTTCGTGAATCTTTAATTAAGTAACACAATAACTGAGCTTTACTAACCAAAGTTATAGTACTGAACAAGAAAAAAAATTTAAAGTGAGGCTCTTTTTAGTGATACATTTTTATGTGCTCGAAGTTTTATTTTTTTTTATTTTGATATCTCCAAAAGTTTCTAGAGACAATTTTGCAAAACAATTTTTCAGTCAAAGCAAATTCAAACTATCTGGAAAGAAAAAAAAGATCGTGGGCCTAAAAGTTTTATTTAACTATGGTTGAATGACTCGCAAATAAATAATAAAAATCAATGTCCCAAAACATGGTCTGGGCAATTAATTTCAAAAAGCTTGACGGACCCTAAATTACAGTGCAGTTTATTCCTTTAACTTTAATGAAATAGCTTGAAATCTCATTCTTATGAAGCTTATCGTTGATAATGAATCTCCATGGCTTATTGCTATATTTTCGTTTCTGTTATCCATGTCTTATTTATCTGTCATTAATTATATAAGTACTTTAGTTTTTAGTTTTCAATCAAAACATATTTTTTTCTATTGCTTTAGTTTCTCAGTGGGGATCTGAAGATCTAAATTTAAATCCACTTCTTATTTTAAGTTTTTAGCTTTGTTTAAACTAACTGAGCTTTCTGTATTTTCTTAAGCATAATGGAATGTCCAGTGTGAAGTGAGAACTACGATTAAATTGCAAGGCTGCTTAACCAATTTGAGTTGCTAATTAATATATCAATAACGATCAGCTTAGTAGGTAATATGTTTTAAAAAATAGAAAGTCAGGCAAGCCTAACATCACTAATAATGAATGTTAAAGTTTTTTCTTTCTTTATTTTTTCTATATATTTTCTCTCTTCTTAATAATAAAATAAGCAAAGCAAATGCTATTATTAATATAAGTGGTGTTGAAGAATTCCCAATGAGTCTAAAATAATAATTTCTGACATACCTAATAGGTGATTCCTATCAACTCATAGATATTCCAAGACATTAACTGTTGAAAGAGGGATAGTTCCCCTACTTCCAAATCGAAGTCCCCTAATTGAGAATTCTCTCCCACTAAATATAAAAGAAATTGTCATCAATGTTTTGACTGATTACTTAGTTTGATATCCATCCAAAGCTTCACTCTTTCTTGTTGGTTTTATTTTTATTGTTCTTATAACAAAGATCAAAATAACAAAAAATTCAATGTAATATAATGGTATATTTATGTTTTAATCAGTCGCTGACTAATTTTATTATTATTAGCATTGTATTTATATAAAGCTAGATAGATTTTATAGATATGATATTAATGAAAATGAAAGTGTGTAGCTTTACTTTTCTCTCAGAATTGTTTTATGAGTGATTTTTTTTCTCTTTTTTTTTTTTTTTTTTATTAACTTTACATTTAATGAAGTGTTTGCGGCAACATTATTAGCTGCATTTCAAAATAAGTGGTCATATTCAATATAGAAAGAAGACTGATAACAAGCAGTGGTGGGAGCTGTTTGATCATAATACTGGAAGATTTTATTATTATAATGCTACATCACAAAAGACCGTCTGGCATCGACCTCCGAATTGCGACATCATTCCTCTAGCCAAACTCCAGGTAAAAACATGTTGCAGCTGTTGATAACATTATTATTTTTATTTTTATTTTTTACTTTTAAAAGAAGGAATAATCAATGAACCAGAGTCTCTGAGCGACAAACAAGGTTGGAAATGTCATTAAAAAATAAAATAAATAATTAAGTATTAAATTTGATGTAATAATGTACCACTATCAGCTTTCAATGTTTCCTTGTTGCTTTTTAATCCCTTATAATACTAATATCTATTTCTTGTTTTATTGTGATTGTGCTTGTTAGTGATCAGTGTTTGCTTACCGCAAATAATGTAGTTTCCTTGTATAGTGCTTCCAATTGGTGTTTTCCTATAGTCTTTTTTAAAAAACAGTTATGGTATTTATGTCGATATCGTCTGAAAGCTAAAGTCTTTTTTATTTTTTTTATTTTAAGAGTTGCCTAAATCTTAGACTTTAAGCTTTTATGATTGTTTATAGGGGTTTATTGAAATTGAGTCGGCCAAAGCCGAGTCAAGTTATTGGTCGTTTCTATAGAAAAGAGGATCTTATTAATTCGGTAAGTTACTGTCTATTTCTTAGAATTATGATTTAAAAAATAATTAAGATACTCATGGTATAAGTATATTTATCAACAATTGGTTGAAACTAAGTTTGTTTGCTCATAAATTTATCTTATCTTTTGGTTTTTAGAAGTGTATAGTATTCCGTTTTTGAATTTTTAACTATATTTATTAAAAATTAGAATCAATTCGATGGTTTTGTTTTTGGATTATATTGATGCCATTTATTATTATCACCCTAAGTCTTCAACAAGTTAATTTAGTATTTGCCGATTAAGTTTTTATTTCTGCTGAGATTTTTTTATGCTTGTTGTAATACTTTTATGCAATATGCATCAATATGCAAGTGACATTGCTTTGCTAGTAAAGTATGCATTTATACCTAAAGCAAGATTCGTAGAATGTGAGTTCTCAAACATTCTAAAATATTTTTCCTCAGCTTAATCAGAACTAGCATTTGCTCAAACATTGTTCACAGGATTCAGATGCCTCAAATAATTTTACTAGGTTCAAAATGGATTCTATGTAGGATAAAAAGTGTTCAAATATTTATGCAAGAACACATCTATGATCTAACAATTTGAACCATGAGGGGGGTGGGAATTTTAAGCATAAATTAATTCTTGTCAATAATGTAATCTCTTCTTTTTAATTTCATTTTGACAGTAAAATGACAAACTCTGGAATATTCATTTGTTTCATATATGGTTTAATAATGGTGGTATCATTAATGGTAATTCAGAAAAAAAATAACTTGAAATATTTTTAAGTGAACTCTGTTTGAATTTCGAGAAAAGTGGTTTGAATTTATCTAAAGGGATTGGAGTCATGATTGAACACTATACAATTATATGATTATTATCCATCAAGTTTCAATTTTTAGTATTGTAGGAAGACAGTTTGTTAGCCTGAAAATAATTATTGTATCTTTAAGTTCCTCTTGAATTTTGAGAGCTTTTTGTCAGATGATCCCTTACCATACTTATACAAAAATTGTGTTTATATGTTAAATTCAATTAATAATATGGTATCAACAGTAAACATTAAGTTGGGCTGTTAGATAACGGTTAGTTTGCTGTGTTTATATTGATTTCGTTATTAAATTCTACATGGTACTATAACTTCTATTGTTATTCTATCAATTTATATGTCTTATTGGTTAGTTTTCCTTATTATTTTTATTTCTCTTTCTATTAACTCGCAGGTTTTTGTTTTCCATTTATTATCATTAATATTTTATAATATTAGTTTTTGAAATGTTTTTAATGGCAAATATTAGAAACTTGTTTATTTGTGGATTGGATTACCACAATTAATTATTGTTATAGTGCTTATATTCATCACTTGATATACACATTTTTTTATTTGATCAAAATTCTCGATGACTCTGAATCATATCTGTTAAATAAAAAACCCTCGAGTTACAATTTTGATGGTTAGCATCCATAGTTATAAAAACTTGTTTATTTTATTAGCATGCTTGTAATTACTAGCACGAGCAACTACATTGTTATAGACCTACGGATTGCCTTCTGGTTCATTGATTATTCATTTATATGTGTAGATATATATTTAGCTGTTTTTTATTGCTTGTTTTGCATAAATTTCGCCAATTTAGTCAGTTTTTTTACATATTTATCCTTTCCTTATCCTAATAGAGGTGGGTAGTGTACGCAAGCACATATTTTAAGCGGTTATTATACTCTTTTTTTTTCATAAATAAATACTTTTAATGTCAAACTTATTATGGTAATTAATTAATTAATATAATGAAAAACACCTAAAAATATTTAATGTTTGAAATAATATGGGTGACATTGAATGTTACTGTGTATTTTATGGTATCAGCCAATTCAGTATACTAAAACTATGTTGCATGGTACGTAGTTGTTTTATTACAGAGTAAACTTTTGTTTCATTGCTGATATTACTCTGGTTATGGTAAAAGGGTGGGGAAAATAACATTTGAAATACATAATAAAATATACATTATTAAACGTGATGGGTTATTGCCAGTTGATAGTTCCGAATAAAGATTTGGGGAGTGGTGAAACACTCAAGGGAAAAAAAACAATGAAACAAAACAATTTGTTTAAGCTCCTTTTATTGTGATTGCCAAATTTTGGCCCAGCTTGGTTGAGCACACTGTTGTGTCTACAGCTATCTACCATATAGTTTTAGTAATACAGTAAAATGTTTAGTTCTCTTTGTACAAATACCCATCTCTTTTCCTAAATTCTTATTCACAAAACTAACTGATTTTTTTTTGTTGTTTTTAGTGAAATCATTTAATTATACCAGCACAACAAAAATGTTACATATTACGATTTGTTGATATTTTTAATTTAATTTAAATGTAATAGCTATGTACTAGATCAGTGAAGAGCGAACCATTCTTTTCTTTGAGCTAAAATTGAAACTAGTTAATTTTAATTTTTTTTTCATTTAAATCAATGAAAATAATTCTCATTCAGTAAAATAAAAGGAGTTGATACTACGTTATATAGGGGAGTAGGGTAGCTCAGTGAATTCTCCAGAGCTTAGAATTGAGTCTTGGGTTAGTAGATAATTAATTATTTATGGAAATATATTAATATCTGTCCTGAGGTCAAGAAACCTTCCTGTTGCCCACTCATGCTTAATAAAATGGGTAACCTTAATTGGAGGAAAATCTGGAGGCTGAGTGTAATCATAAATTTGGCCAGGTTACTTTCTTGCGTAATTGTTGGGCTAGAATCAGTGCTTTTTTACTAAGTACTGAATCCAAGACCCTTGATGGGTTGTAGAGCTACATGAATTCTTTATTATTATTATTAGATCACATTACAAGTCAAAATGTATATGAATCCTTATTTATTATATAACAGTGTGGAATTTGACATAAAAAGGTACTTGATGAAAAACACCTAAAATTATTTAATATTTGAAATAATATGGGTGACATTGAAGGTTACTGTATATTTTATCATATCAGTCAATTCAATATACTAAAACTATGTTTATGGTACCTAGTTATTTTATTTAGTTTTAACGTAAGTAGATGGTACCTCCCAATTTTTTAAGTGTGGCTGTAAGGTTACAGTACTAACAATGAGTTATTAATATTATTTATAACATTGTTACTTAATAGACATGGATTTTTCTGTTCTTCAGATTTATTGTTTTTTCAGTATGTTGGGTAGTGTAGAACCTTAATTGAATTTTCGACTTACCTATGGGAATTAAAATTCCTGGATGAATATTTTTTATGGATATATGCTTATCTTTGTTTTTCCATTTGACATTGTTTCATACTCAGTATATTCTTGAAAATGTAAAAGTAAATTTGGAAAGTTTATAACAGTTGACATTATAGATTTTCAAGAATTTTGATTTATTTAATTTTCTTGAAACTGTTTTGAAAAATTATTGCTTTGTCTCTGCTCACTTAGGGTATGATCTTAAAAAGATAAGATTAAATGTACTATCCATTGTCCTCAGATAAAAAATTACTAAGTAAAAAAAAAATTAATAAATGAATTTCTTTTAGATACAAATTTATATATTTGTGAACTGAGATGATTCTGGACTGTTAACATTATATAAATGTTTAAAGTCTATTTGCCATCAAATTGAGGAAGTTTATTACTGTAGGTTGAATTTTGGACTCAATTAGTCCATGTTATGATTCGAGAGATTAGACATTTTTTTTGTACCAAGACAGTGCATTTGCTAAGGAATGTGCCCTTTTTTTCATTTATTAATTACTGTTCGTTGAATCCACTGTGAACTACTGAGATCTGATGTATAAATATTATTTTTCTCTCTTGACTATGCCCCCATCCAACTTCTCCTGACCTGAATTAACCATTTCATTATATACAATTTTAGAGATATTAATGACTTATGTAGCGAGTTTAAAGTTTAAGGTTTTTCTTTAGCCTAATTAATAGAATAGACTTCTTTATAATTTAGCACTTTTAACAGTCTGTTATAAAAACAAAGCTGTGAAGGAATAAAAATTTACTATTTTCTATTTTTCGGAATGACTATATTGCAATTCAAGTTGTAGAGGTGTTATAAGCTCAATTGTTCAATTTTTTTTTATACTATAATGTCATGTCGTCTGTGAGTTCATTTATTATTATGTTCTCAGGATCTTTCTGATTGTAGTTGATAGTTACGAGTTTTTTTATTTTTAGTTTTCTTTTTTTATATGTTAATTCTATGCATTTTATGATCAATGCATGTATCTAATAATATATATTATGATTTAGTTACTTAATTTAGTGACTGATTTGAATGTTCCTTTTTTATTGGAACTCCTAAGCATTGTATCATGGTTCTTCAATTTTATTTAGTTTGTACATTTTTAAAATGTCTGCATAGCTAAGGCAATCACATGACAAATTTTTAATTAACACATCATTTATAGTGTTATATTATCTTCTTCCATGTTATATTATGTTGTTCTTAGCTACTGTTCTCATTATCACTTGTATTTGGAAAACTTTCGGTTGTTCGTATGTTAATTTCTTTCATTTGTTATTAGGCTTGTTATTATTATTTTTTTTTTTTCATTGTCTGTCGAAAATATAAAATAAATAAAGATTCTTGAAGGAAGTTAGTAGACTGTTCTGCATATCATGGGTGATAAATATTCAGGACCCAGTCTTTTTAAATTTTGTTATTTATGCCAACGTTTCAACCCAAACATGTTGGTCATCTTCAGGGTGTGGTTTGAGCATTGAAGATGACCAACATGTTTGGGTTGAAACGTTGGCATAAATAAAAAAATTTAAAAAGACTGCGTCCTGAATATTTATCACCCATAAAATAAATAAAGATATTTTAGTTTAGATAAAAGTGTTAACCTTATTGATAATGAGGATTTATCTTTGTCTATATAATATCTAATGAGACAAAGAAGCATTTCCCCCTCCCCTTTGAATATCTATTGAAAATATGTTTATAAAATAAAAATGTTCTTACTAAAAGAAGATTTCATGTCCATTAAATATCAATTTTATATTTAATAGGTTTCCAACTATTCATAAGGCACTTATATTTTAAGTTTAAGAAGTGTCTTTTATTTGTTTATTTTATACTTTTCTCTTTTTTTTTTTTTTTTTATTAAATTGGGACTAAAAACAAATTAACCAAAATAAAAATAAACAACTTATTGTTTTGCTTTTATAAATTCAACATATTTTATCCATTGTGAAATCTGATTTATGGGTTGAGTTTCTTTTGAATCTTAGCTCTTTTTTTTGGAAGCCAGTTAAGAGTTTAAATGGATCTACTATGTCCGGTGTTCTTAGACGCTGAAACAGAATACTGAACCTTCTCCTGGTGGTGGAAGTTGTGGTGTTGTAAGTACACCTAAGGAAGATGAAAAGAAGAAGGAGACTGTATCAACGCAGACCCCTGGAAGATCTATTAGGGCACTGCCGCCAGCAAACATTAAACTGAATGTGAGTTGGGCAAATGGTTTCGGAGTTACTACTCCTTTGTTTATATATAAGGGAAGGGAATACTAACCTTACTAATTATTATTGGCAAAAGTAGATTTAAAACTGGTTTAAAGCTTTGTGTGTTTGATATGATCATGAAATTTTCAGGCTTAAAGAAATTACTAAATTCTTTCAGGTGCAGCTAAGGTATCAACCAAGTATGAGCATTCATAGCATAGTTGTTGGGTTGGGATACTTCTGTATTGTTGTTGGGTTTTAAAATAAATATTTATACAATTTATTGGGTGTACCAAATATGAAAAATAAGTAACTTAACTTAATGGTTGCTTGATATTCAATTATTTTTAATGTTAATTCTGTAAGGAATTAACATTTTTAATCAGTTGTTTAGGCCAACGTATATCATTAGCGAAGTTATGCATCATACATAGAAATATTCTGAGTGATTTTTGTTGTGCTATTAATTTAATAATCTCATGGTAAAGCATTTTTCTATTTTTTTTATTAAAAATTGTTAACCCAAATATTTTTTTTGAATGAATCTATTTAATTTCTTATTTCTATTATGTATCTTTTATTTCCTCTAAGCATAGCTGTCCCCTATAGCTCAACCCTGATAAGTTGACAGCCCTTGAGCAAGCTCTTCCAGCGCTAAGTTGAAACTAACATTCTGTTTTTTCCAATAACATCTTTCAATTTAAACTGCTCAAAAATGAATAGTAATATTGTTAGCTATGTATGATTTATTCTTCCTAGAATTTATATTTTATGTTTATTATAAAATACATTAAAAATTAATACAAATAAGATTGTATTTATCCTCGGGAAATTTTATAAAAGGTGTTTTAAAAAAATAATAAAATTAAAAGTTTTTCTGCTCTTGCTTTTATGATTGCCAATTGTAAAAACTTTATAAAATTTAATAATTTATTTAATATCTTCTGTTACACACTACCTCTGTGCACCTGTTAGCCATATAGTTTATAATTTTGTCGCTGATTTTACAAGGAATTTCATACCATAAACATGGTAATACTGCTCCTCGTTGCTGAAGGTTAAGAAGCTGCAGATGATCAAAAAGCATTCTCTGCATTGCTCAATGGGATCAAAAATCTGCAAATAATACAGTGAGGGACAGATGTGAAATGTCCAGATTTTCAAAAAAATGAAAATCTCTACCAATTATAAAATATCTTGAACTTAACGAGATCATCTTCCAAAATATTGAGTAGATGCTGCTTTCCCATACCATCACTCTCTTATATCTATACTGCATTGAAAGAAGCACAAACTGTGGCTGTGAATCGATCCCCTTTCCTCAGAAGACTCTTCGAGGCCTATGATCGCCATTAATACAGTAACACGACTCTTCTGTAAGATAACAGCATTCCAATTTGTATCCTCATCTAGGCATCCGCTGCACAGAAATCTATAAAGTTGCTGGTGACGCTCTGTTGCTGCAGGTCGTCTTAAAGGAGCATAAGATGTTGGACCAACTTCTCATGATTGGTTACGAATGTTTCTTACAGTAATAACGATATTTCTGTCATCTATTGGTGTCGTAATTTACTGAGATTCACAGACACGTCTCCTATTGGTATTTATGGTTTCTCTGAATCTTGCTGGAGCCAGGAGACCACAATCTGGGACACACTAAGTGCATTGGCGATATCCACTTGTTGGTGCCCTAACTTCAGGTTCAATAGGATGTCTTACCTTTGTTAAACAGAATGTTACTGAATTGAAATTGAGAAAAATTAAAAACGTCTGTTCGTTTACACAATATGTATTCTTCATGTTGACTATCCTTTGGTAAATAATTTATCAAAAATAAAGAATACTTGTTGTTTACTTTTTATGTTTACTAAAATACAGAGAATCCCTAACAAACTAACAAAGGTAGGGTATTTTAATTAAAACAAATCAAATGGAAATATCCCTATTCGTTTTTGAGCAGTTTATTTATTTTTATAAATATTTTATTATTAATATTTAAGTGTCAGAAAAAAATAAAATGTTAGTTTCAACATCTTCGGCTAGAAACTAATTGTGATCGAACTATTACAGTCGTAATCATCACCCTTTATTTATAATAATAAATATTATTTTGATAGAAATATATTAAATTTATTGTGAACGTTTTAAGGTTTGCATTAAAGTTACTCGACGCTTAACAGTTATTAAATTATTTCTGGTGTTAGGTGCCCGTCATTGAATGAACTATCGTTCTGTTCTTAGGACCCTTGAAGAATTCCTTCTAACTACACCCCATTTCTTGGATGCTGATAAAAATAGTAATGCAGCTCCTTGAGTAATGAATTAGTTGTCCTGTTTTATAAAGACAGTAATTAACGTTGTGGAAAAATAGATATGATTGGTCATCATGCAATGTACCTCTTCATGCCAATTACCTGCATGTTGGCAAATGGTTCAGTAGGCCTTGTCTCTTTGAGGAATCTAGTGCCATCATTTTTTTTTTTTTTTTTTAACATTAAAAGTTGAATTCCTGTTATGTATATTTTCCTGGTTGCCATCATATCCCTTTCTTTAATGTTGGTACAAATATTAATAAAACTCCCTAAACATCCTTTCCTTTCTTTTATACTTATTATTTATTTTTTTATGTTAAAATTTAAATTAAAGATTTTCTTTAACATTTTTTTTCCTTAGTTAGATTAAATAGGGTAATTATTCCCTTCCCTTTGTTATGTATAATGATTTGTATTCAATTTAGTTATCCATAATTTTTTTTATCATTTACTTTTTATTTTTTAAAATGTTGCATCATATTATTTTGATTCGATGATTCTGAGGTGGAGAATATGGTTTTACTTCTTGATTAATGTTATTTTAGAAATACTTTGACTTAACTGTTGAGTATGATTTAGTTTATATAACATCATGACTGAGAACATGGAAATTGTTTTATGATAGTTTATTTTAATGTGTAATATCTTCCACCTTTGAATTATAATTGTGTATTATTTGTAAAATACCAGTTTTTATTATTCTATAACTGTATGAAATAATTTTGTTTTGCATAATTGTTGTTTGCAATGTTTATTAGATGGATGAACATTTCAAGTTTCATTTTTTCTTAATTTTTGTTTTATGAATTTAAAAAAGGCCAATTTGAACAGGACTCGAAATTGCCTCAAATGTTTTAATTATTATCTGCACTACATAAAGCTTGCAGCATGTACTGTCTTTTATTATATTATATATTCAGAAGTAGTAAACAATCCTCATGTAAAATAAAATGCACGTAATCGCTGTGAATTTCAGACTGGAGGAAATATGCCTACACCTCTCAATACGATTGAAAAAGCAAGTGAAGAGGAAAGTGCCAGTTCCCCAAGAACCTCCCGTCCCCATCATCACCACCATCACCATCACAGGTAGGTTTGTAAGGTTATGTATTTTTAAGCTACGTAACCTTGTAAAAGTTTGGTATTCGATTAAGAATCAACTTAAAAATTAGTGCACATGATTGAAAGAATGTAAAACAAATGTATATATATTTATATATATAAAATTTATATATATATATATTTATTTATATATATATATATATATATATATATATATATATATTAAACTGGTATAAATTGACTTGTATTGTCAATACAAGGTTCAAAGTTATTTAGAGGGAGGGAGACAGCTTTCTCCTTGAGCATTTTTCCCAGCCTTAGTTCCGTCCATAAGATTCTCCTTTCAAATTGCTTGCCATTATGTTTCATCTAAATTTAAAACATTATATGAACATTTTAACAACAATTCTAAAATTTCTAAATGCTCAATCGAATCAATCCTCTTGACAATTTTGATGTATACATGGTTTCAATTGAAAAAAAAAAAGTAACCAGGTTCTCTATTTGCGATAATATTGAATGATTCAAGATTATAATTAATAAAGAATAAGCTACAAATTGAGAGTGATTATTTATTGAATTGGGCCTATAGGCTAAAGTAGGGAGGAGATAATTAATGAAACAGGTTAAAACTTGAAACTAGCCAAACATATACAAGATTTATGTGTTGTAATGTTCTCGTTCCCTCCAAAATTGAACAACCATTTTCTTTTTCAATATAACATTTATTTCTCACACATATATAAATTCCCAGGTTGGGTTTTGACAACTAACACACATCAATTATTCAACACCTCTATGGGTTTCCATTAAATTTGTCGGAGTCCAATCTCTGCGCTCATTCAATCTGTCCATTGACACACTCCTTACTCACCCTGTGATGCAGCTATTTCTCTTCTGTACTGTTGACACTCACTACTTGGGGGACCAACATCTTCTCACAGATCCCGGTTCTTTGCCGGCTGGCTACCTTCTCTTTAACCCATGTCCTCTTCACTCGCTGGCTGGTCACCTTCTGCCGTTACATGAGGGTTGCTTCCCTCACCATCTGTACTTCCTGTCAGTAGTTGGTGATGTTACCACATTCGCACCAATATTCAAAAACACTGTGTAATGTTGACATTACATTATATATGTAACATATTTACAGGATGTTTCAGGATTAATTGGCCAAACTGCAAAATTGAACTAATAAGGACCTCAAAACAAGAAAAACATTTCCTCTATGTATGTCCGCAAACGCTTTGGTTAGGTGATATTCACACCTTAAAGATTTTCATTGTTATAAATTATTTGCGCTATGTGAAATTAATAAAACCTATTTATTTGTTCTATCTACTTTATTAATTATATGTAAACATTCATTTCCTTTAAGTGATTTCCTTGAGCATTAGGACAGGCTAGGCATCTTTCTTCAACAGCGGCAGTGGCATAACAACACTGGATATGTGTTATTGTTTCACAAGATTCAATTATCCTTCTTCGTAAGGAATATAGGTCACTGACTGGATTTGCTCAATCATATTCCATATCCCAATCAACAGATTGGCCGTGCAAGACCAATGACTTGGCCTGCACGTTCTCCTGACCTGACACCACTGGATTTTTTTGTTTGGGGTGATATTAAACAAAAAGTCTATGCAAATCCGGTCAGTGACCTAGATTCCTTACGAAGAAGGATAATTGAATCTTGTGAAACAATTACACATATCCAGTGCCGTTTTGCCACTGCTGCTGTTGAAGAAAGATTCCGAGCCTGTCTTAATGCTCAAGGAAATCACTTTGAACAACATTTAATATGAATGTTAATGTTTACATTTAATTAATAAAATAGTTAGAACAAATAAATAGGTTTTATTTGTATCATATAATGTAAATAATTCATAACAACGAAAATCTTTAAGGTGTGAATATCTTCTAAAGAAAGCATTTGCGGACATACCTCACAGGACTTTTTTTCTGGTTTTGACGTCCTTAGTTCATTTTTGCGATTTGGCCACTTACCCCTGAAACACCCTGTATATTACTGTAAATTTACTTGTACATAATAATATGAAAATTAAAGTTCAAAGATGCAAAATTAAAAGTTATCCGTTAAAATTAGGAAATTTGGAAAAAATGAAAGAAGTATCAATATTTTTCAGTTGGAAGCATGTTCTTTATTTATAATGAACTTGTTTTGTTTTGTTATCGGTATATTCAAAAATATGTTAACAGAGCAATTGAATATATTTCATATTTTTATTTAAAGTTTTGAGGAAGTGAGATGAACTGCTCTCAATTCCTTGACGCTTCAAGTTTGCCACAGGTAATATGATAATAAAATCTTCACATAAAAATTAAAGGGTGCACATGACTGAATCATGAAATCCTGGGATATGGTGCTAAAAATAATCATCCTTGAATATAAACTAAAATTTCAACAATAGGAACATAGGGCGTGGTAAAGTTCTTGTCCAGCTACTTATAGGCCTTAGCTTAGCCATTTAGTCGATTTCCTATTTACTTAATTGATTTTAGTTTACATATTTTATTCATTAATGTAAGTTGCTTGTTACTGATTTTGATTATATTTTTGTTCTTCAAAATATTGGATGATCGTGAAACGATATTCTTGCCCCTTCTCTATTTTTATTGAGAAAGATCGTCCTCTGAAGTTTGCGCCTATGTCTTATTATCGATAGATTTAATGATAACTTTAAAACAATTCTTACATCTCATTAAACATGTTTAAATTATAATTTTATCTTTTAATTATCTCACCTAAGATTTTAATTTCATTGTCAATTCTATTCACCTCATTGCTTTTAAATCTTCTGATATAATTCTCATTAGTTTGCTATTCTTTTATTCTATTAGTTTACACTTTATGAATGAATCAATATGGCTGATTAAATTAAATCCATTAAATTTATCGAAGAGTGCTATTTCTGGTCACCTGTCACGTATTAAAGTTTCTTATTTAATTTCAGACATCAGGATGGTTGCAGGTCTGGAGATTCTAGGAATCGAAGAGGTAGTCAAAGTTCCTGGAGAAGGAATGCACAATCTCAGGTATGTTACATTTACATATTGAGATATTGGTTGAAGATGTCTTATTAGGTACATAATCTTTTTTAATTCTGCTTTAGGTTAGTTCTGTTTTTAAGTATATATCTTTTTTTTTATTTACCATCTGTAATATTTGGTTGGCAATAGGTCCTTTCGGTTTTTCATGGTGAAATAAAACTCAATGTATTATAGACATAAAATTTATTTTAATCTACGATATACTGACCATTATTCAATATGATTTATTGTTAAAAAACTGATCCAAGTTGTTTTAGATGTCCTCTTCCTTTTGGAATTTGGAACACAGACGGGAATAAGTGGTAGTCACTTTGAGCTAGGTCCTGTGATTAGGAAGGGTGGGGACAAAATGTCCCATCCAAGGCTCAATAATTTATTACAAGAGACCAATGAGGTCACTCGTCTTGGACCTAGCCTTGTCTTTTTAGAACACAACACTCTTCCGATCATTCATAACTCTTCAGGATATTCTTCAAATTCGATGTTACTATATGTGTTGGAAAGCTAAATTATTGCTCTTCAAACCCATAATATAAATAAACAAAAAATCTTTACAGGTTTTTATTTTTTGTAGTTTGTGTGGTCCTAAATTCCTGCCAAATTTGTTGTAGATAGCTAAAGTCCTATAGAATTTATAACATTTTTTTGTGATTTTCAATAAAAAAATCACATGAGGGATCCAAACATTAAGCCTGGAAAACATAGCCGAGCTTGTGCAAATGGTTTTCTACGCTTGTGTACGACACATTTAAGGCCATTGCAATCCTTCGCACTGATTGGGTAGGATTTCGATCAACAATGACCTTAACATTGCTCGTTTCCCAGACCTTTGAGCTTCATTGATGTCAAAATTTCCTGAATGAAATTTTTCAAAACAATTTTGACAGGTGCGTTTGGTTAAGGCATCATACCCATAAACACTGCAAAGTTTTCTATGAGCATCTTCAGCACAAATATGCCGTTATAGAATGATATTTTCTTCCATGTTTACAGTGCAATAGCAAACGCAATACTAAGCTAGTTTCAACAAGAGTTAACAGATATATTTATTGACATATTACAAACAGAATAAACAATCTACCTTAAGGATTAATTCATCAGTAAAGAAGTGTATCATAGTGACAAAAAGAAACGAAAAAAATGGAAGGACTTATTTGTCAACCCAATATTTAATTTTAGCTTGAAATTGCTAGAATTGTGTTATTTTTTATCAAACAAATAATTAAGGAGTGGTAAATTCTTTATTGTGTCATCCATCCAAGGGTTTTTAATTTTCTTGTTGTCTTTGTTTTTTCTAATCTCTCCTTATCGTATTATACTTCAAGGAGATATTTTTGATTCTTTAATCATGTGATATTATGTCTTTTGAGATTCTAAGGACTTGAATATCAATATATAATCCTACATTGTTTATGAAAATTTCCTTTGGAGTTATTATTTCAATTACAATTGAAATGTAACTTTCATTTGTAATCTTAATAAACTACATTAGGTTTTGTTAATAGTTAGCTTACAAGCATGTGTTGTAGTAGTTCATATACAGGTGTTTCATTTGTTTAATGATTGCTTACTTAATTTATATGGATTTAAAGACTATTGTATATTTTGTTAATTACTTTTTAAATTTTTTCATAGCAGATTATTTATTCCTCCAGAGATTTAACACAATTGTTTGAAATGAGAATTTCTTCTTATGATGGTTGCTTTTATTTAGGAATGTTTATGTAATATTGTTTACCTATATCCTCATTCAGACGAATTTTTGACTTTCTTTGGCTAAAAAAATCAGTATTTTCCATATATTGTAGCAGAACTTTTTTATTCTTAAATTATTTAATCACTTCTTACCTCTGTTACTCTTTATTTAGTTTGTGATTTACATCGAAGAATGGTATGGTAGCTGTAAATGCTGTGGAGCAATTATTTCCTCTTCTTTTCTATTGATATAATTTTATAGTTTTGCCTCTCTTTGACTATCTATATGATTGAAGCACTTTTCTTAACCTTCTTTCTTATCGTAGTTCTAAATATTTGAATTAATCTTCTAAAGATATCGAGTTGGAAGTAGTGTTTGTTTCTCGTTTTCTTCAAGGCAAGTCTTCAAGATTTTGATGTAGAAGCATTTAGATTTAGGCTTAGCTCCCAGCTAGCTTATATTACTTTGTACATTGAATAGGATTCAGGTAGATCATCAGATTCCTCCTCAGTATCAGTTTGCCGCCAGGGAGGAGAGATCAAGCCGGCACTTGCTCCATCGCCTTCAACGCCCCTCCTGAAGAAGAGATCTCCATCCCAGGCGAAAGCTAACAGTTTCGACACAAACATCAGTAAGTTGTTAATTATTTTAACAACTACATATACATTGTATTTTAAATACAAATAAATAATTCACTGTTTTAATTAAATTTAATTTTACAATTATTTTTATTTTTTATTATAATTTTGTGACAATTATAAATTGCATTGCCTATAAAAAATATTATTGCAATAGAAAATTATTGTTATGGTAATTTAATGAGTAATACCACTTTTCTGCAGTAAAGAGTTTGTTTAATGACTTTAAGTCTTTTAATACTTTTTTGGTCTATTATTTTTTATATCTGTTACATATATTAGAGCTGAACTTAATTAGAAACAAGTTTTAATCCCGTTGGTTTGTTAGGTATCGGTGGTGGTTACAGCCTTGGTCAGGAAAATCGAGTTTCTACTCAAAGGCCTCAGCGGATTTTGACCGGCTCAGCTTCTAATCATGGCATATCAAGGAGCCATTCCTTCGCTCAGAGGCAGAGAGCCAAAGAAGAAGAAGAGGCGATGCATGAAAAATATTTTATTGGTGACCAGGTAACTTTCATAGCATTATCAAATCTTGGCTGATCTCAGTCCATGCTGTTGTAGCATCAATAAGTTTTAGTTTCAATAATGATATATGTTTTTTACTTTAATTTCCAGTTGGACAAAGAAATGAGCAGTATGAAAAACTCTGCACCCTCAAAACTCAGTCCTGAATATTCAAATTTCATCCCGCCTCCTCTTAAATTAAGCTATGAACACTCTCGTCCATTGAGGTATTTCAATTTCTTTTTTTGTAATTTATATTCATAATTAACTTTATTTATTAATCTTTTAATAATCCTTTTTTAAAATAATATCATTCAGTGTATAGAATTTATTTATAATTTTTAAAAATAAATTTGACTATAAAAAGTTGAAAAAATTGACTTGAGTGTTTCTCTTAAATTGTATTTATACAATCCCAATGGATAATAATGTTTAGATATAAACCAAACAAAATCACAAAATATTTTCTTGAGAATTATACAAGTAAAATAGGTGTAGAAATTTTCTAGCAATTTAATTAAAATTTATATGCCATATTTTTACTGTAAGTAGCAAAATAGTAAATAAAAACTACTTTTATAAAGACTAGGAGGTGTGATAATTATTTTAATTTTTATATTAATCAGTTCAGTGTTGATTTTTTAATTTACAGTTTACTTGTTAAATTAATTTCCAACATTAACATGCCTCCCGTGGTGTTAGTGGTCTTATTTAAGGGGATGAGGTATGCAGCCTAATAAAAGCTTATTATCCCCGTTACCAGGCTAAATGAAACATCCTGTACCTAGGCTTTGAATTATCTCTTTTAGCCTTCTCTTCAGTTTGCTTGTAGGGAAGTCTTTTTATTTGTTTATTTGTTCAAAGTTCTAATTTCCTTAAGTTTATTTATACATTATCATTGTGAAATTTTGATAAATTAAATAATACTGGTGACTTACACTATTGTTACTTAGGGAGACTCAAAGTGATATTGAGGATTCTAATGGTGCTTGGGGAACATCTAATAAAAAACAAATTAGTGGTCATAGTTCAGATCAAGGTAAGAAATATTTATCATTGTCTAATTTTTTTGAGATAATCTTTATATTGAATTTTAAATTATTTCTCTTCTTTTAGAAACTGCTACCATTCTTGAATTAGCTGAATCAAAACGCGAAACTAGTAGCATAGAAGATCGAAGTCAAGAAGATTATGGATCGGGTCTTCCATTACAACCACATATTATTCCATTGCACAGATATATTGTAGAGCAAGCAAAATCATCTGGTAAGTTTTTTTTTTTTATTAATGTGGATAGTTAAGAATATTTTTTTAGTATTTTTATATCATCTCTGGTTATTTATTGACTTGACGTCTTCTGGAATTCCGAACATGTTTTTTAAAAGAATTTTTTGTTAAAAAAAATTTTAAGTATCAAAGAGTTTTTTTTAAATTAATACCTAACACTTCTGTTAATTCAAAAGATCATATGTAATAATTTTATATCTTAATTCTAATTGTGATAAAGGTTACATTTTGTTGTCCGCAACTAAAATAAATAGTCTTTTAAATAAGATATGAAATTATACTTAATGTTAATAATGATAAATAAATAATCAGTACTTATGCTATTTTGTAAAAAAAAAAAGTCAATTTTTACATATGACCTTGTGCATTTACAGTAGTGCTAATGAATCCAGTTTGTTAGCCTCAATTTTTGTTTGGAGGTTTCCTGGTTTTGGAGAAAAAATGTGATTTTTCAGTCTTTTTCCGTTTATTGTTATATCTATGCATTATTATTGTCCTTCGTTTGTTAATGTAATCTTACCTAATTTTTTTAAAAAATCATCAGAATAAATGAAAATAAAATGCAATTATTTTACTAAGGAACAAATGAAGCTGATCAGTGTATTAAAAGTTCGCAGTAAATGAAATCCAGAATTTTTAGTTAATTTCAGTTTTTTTTTATTTTATAAGGGTAAAGATGCCTTGTTTATCAAACACTGCAGCTCTTGATTTTTTGTTTAAACTATGTTTTGGCCTTACATAATCATACTCAAGACTAAAAAAGATATTTCCCATTATAATAAAATTTCAATTAATAATTTATGTTGGAGGGTTATCTGTTTTTCTTTAATATATAAAGTATAATATATTTAAATAAAATTAATAATAATTGTAATAAGATAAGGACATGGTTTGCACATAAATTTTTATTTTCAATTGTTTTAACCAAATGTGAAATGAAATAAATTCTATCATTCTTCATTTATAAATAGGTCAACTCTCAGTGTAGATTTATTTGTCTTCATAAATTAAGTGGATTTTATTAATAAATTTTTGTTGACAGGCTGTTACAGGTTCGGACAGTTACCTGAAGAAGAGACGGATTCTCTCAATTCAGATGATGATGATGGAGGTGGAGGGGGTACTGGGAAGGGACATCGAGACGGTATGGATTATGATTCCGATGAATTTGCTGATGATGAAGCAGTTTCTAATCAAGAAAGTTCATCTGAAGAAGATGATGTCCTTGATGATTTGGATCCCGATTTTCTTCCAACAGTCCACCACCATGTTTACATTAATACCAGTAGAGGCTTCATTGACCCACCCCATTATTCAGGTAATTTGATCTATTTATCTATGTATTATCTAATTTTATATGGTGTTGTGGATAATCATTGATTCAAATCGCATGATTGATCGATTAATATGTGAAGCTTGTAATAATAGATATTAATAACGATAGTTAAACTAGTAATTTTAAAATTATGTTTTCATAGTTTTTACATGATTTTGATTTGCTATTCTTATTAGTTAATATATAATAAACAATCCGTTTTGAGTTGTGTTAGCTATTATTTACTATTAGTGGTGTAGATACATATTTTTTTTAAATTATGTAATACAATTTCAGTGAGTAATGTTGAACTAAACGTGAAGAACTTCTACCTTAAAGGTTTCATGAGATGCTCTCCTATATCGTTGCTCCATCGATATTGATAAGCATTTAAATAAGTGGTGTATTCTTTTGAAATTCTGTAGAAGTTTGTGTTGCTTTCAGATACAGCAGATTATGCTGACACTCCTTCTCTTATTGATCATAGCTCGAGTCTTTATTGCAATACAAGAGTCTCCCAGCATACTGTCAGACCTATTACAAGTAGGTATTTTTGTTTTTTTGTTTTTTTTTTTTGTTGTTTTGTTTTTTTAATATATTTTATTTTAAAGGGTGGTACATATATTTTGTTTTTATGTTTTATAGTCAAAAAAGGATCATTGATAAAAAATTAAAAGCATTAATGGTCCATTTTTTTTCTTCAATAATTTGGTTTTTAATTATGAAGGGCACGTACCATATACTACTGTGCCTCCTATTTTCCTTCTTAGAATGCATAACCAAAAATATTTTATAAAATCATTTTTCATGTATGAATGTTGTTAATGTGTTTGTGATACCTGTTATTGTATTTTTATTTTTTAAATCACATTTTGAAAATAAGAAATATATGACTGATTTTATTATTAATTATTTCCATTTTTTAAATTATGTTTAGTTCATTTTTTTTTTTATTCTGCAGCTATTTTCTTATTTTTTAGAAAATGGAAACAGCTTTTGAAAAGATTCTGTTTTGTTAATATTTTCACATCACTCGACTTCCGTGCACCCATAATTTTTAGTTCATATCTAGTCTGCATTACTTTCTTATTTTCTTTTTTTTTTTTTTTTTTATTGATTTCTTTTTATTCAAATGTGAAAATTGGATAGAAGTTCATTTCCTTTGGTGACTAATTCCTTTTCATCACTATGATCAATGAAGGGAGGAATGTGTATGAAAGCATTCATGCTCATTAAACTCATTTTATTCATGTATCATTTAATTTCATTTGTGTATTATTTTTATGTGTCTAAATATTATTTATTATATAATTAAATGATTTTAATATATTATCTTATTTAGATTATTATTTTGTATTTTGTTTCATTGTGGCAACATGAATTTACATGCCATTTTTAATCAATAATTTAGTTTATTTTTCTAGGATGCCAAGGCTATTCACATTATTGTCTGTTTCGCTTTTCATTGGTTTTACAGTGGTATTACATACAACTAATTTTCTATTGTGTGTGTCTCAGTTGATCAAAATTTGGTTGCTTTCTATTTGCTATTTTATTACCCATGTAGATCCTGACCTCCATAATGATTTTTGATTAATCTTTCTTCTTTATCCCGTACTATCTCTTACTAATTTTAGATCCTCAAGAGGCTTCCTGTTGCCCAAGTCTTCAGTTGGCCTTTTGTAACTATATTGTGTTCGTCATAGATATAATAAATTCTTCCTATTTCTCGTTGCTTCACTGAAACAAATATATATACTATCCTAAAGCATTAGCTCGAAGATCACCTTGTAATCTTGAATATATGCTTTTTGGTTGATTATTTTTAAAATCATGCCAATTTGCCTTTATTTTAGCCGAGTTCGGAGCTCAGCTATTTATACTGTTGAGAGGGTGGACTGTTTCGATGTGATCACCTTTGTATTCTAAATCTATGAGAATTCAAACCTTAAAATGATATAATGATCATGTCTGGAGCTTAATCAGCTTCTTTTCCTGAATGGGTGGTACACACTAATTATTAGTTGTATTTACGAAAATAAATAAATGGCTCAATTTCTTTATCTACAATAAGACATAAAAATTTCTAGACGAATTAGCTTCTTTTTTTTCTGTTAGTTATGTACATAATTATATCGTAAAAAAATAAAATAAATTTAGGAAAGTTTTAAATTTCAAAAACACCAATCATTTTAAAATCCTTGTAATATATTCAAATGCCTATGCCCGTCTATAGAAACTTATGTACTTGTAATTAAAGACCGATATGTCTGTGCTATGTTTAGGCAAATTTCCAAATTTAATTAAAGTAAAGGCAACTAACTCTGATGAGTTCGACTTATTTTAGCAGTGGATTGTATTTTGATAAAGTAATAAGTTATATCAATGGTGTAAAGCTGACTCACCCTTTTATGCTGACATAGATATCTTAATTAACTGAGAGGGCCCTCCAGTAAGCTTCAGTTAATCCCTCTGGGAATCTCTGGATAGGAATAGGGCGAGTACATCTGGTAGCTAGCATGGATTAAATTTTATCTTCTAGATCTTATCTGATCTGTTTTCACTATTCACCCCAACGTAGTACTGATAGGATGGATAAAACATCTTTTGTTGAAGTTTAATAAATAATAATTATTAATTATAACAAAGGATTTAGTGTCTGTAAAATCAGTGGGACGGTAGGCTAAAATAAAAAACTGTTGTTTACATAATTTGGAGGTAGAAGTACTAATATTGGTTTTACTTGAAATGTTCTACCAGCCATCCAGTACAATTTAAGGAGCAAGAAAGGTGTATCATAGCCTCGAAGATTATAAACAAGTCCTTGAATATTGCACCTCAATCAAATTTTGGTAATGATTATTTAGATGAGTATTTAATTACATCTTCCACTAGAGCTATAGTGAGCATGTTAAGTAATTGCAATTAAAATTACATGTTAAATCCTGTTTTATGTTTTGTATCTATTTCCATTAATTTTTATTTGAATTCTTAATAGTTGACCATTGTATTATTAAGGAAGGAGATGGTGAGGGGTGTCGCTCATAAATAGACTAAATAGCGGCAAAACTATTTTATTAAAATACAACGTTTCGACCCGACTTTGCAGGTCTTCTTCAGTGATGTGTGTTCAACTAAGAGTTTCACTTAGAACTTCAGTTTCACTTGAGTTCTAAGTGAAACTCCTTGCTGAACACACATCCTTGAAGAAGACCTGCAAAGTCGGGTCGAAACGTTGTCTTTTAATAAAATAGTTTTGCCGCTATTTAGTCAATTTATGACCGACACCCCTGACCATCTTCTTCCTTGTTAATTTTTATTCTTCCTGCTTCTTTCGGAATATATCTGAATATAAAATGAAACAAAAAATAATTACATTCTTGGACTCAAGTCTCCTAAGAATAATAACAGAGTTCAAGAAAAATGTGCATCAGTCAGGCATGTGGAAATTACATAAATATGCAAAATAAATAAATAAAAATAAAGTGGCTCTTATCAATTAACGGTTAAAAAGCAAAATTAATTACATAATCTAGAAATTCTTACATGGTTGCGGAAGTTTGAATGTGAAGTAGGTGCTGGAATAGGAGTTGTTTGAAGGAATTTGTTAACATGGTTTGATGTATGGAGATCGGTTAGGAGTTCCGCCAAAAATATATAGCACGAATGACGAAAGATTTGCTGAAGGAAGTGCTTTCATGGGAAAAGGGATATACAGATTTATAGTTCTGTGGACTTGGATAAAGAAAATACCAGGAAGGAATTGCCGTCAGGCAGCAGAATAGAGCCACTTCAATTGAATGGACCAGCAGAAGACATGGGAATTCTAAGATGAATCTTATGTAAGCAATTCATGAATCTCTTCAGTCTCATCTCCAGCCGTGTGGTCAGCCTTCCATACACCAAGCAACCATAGTCGAAGTGGGTGAAAAGAAGGGAGGTTAAAAGAAGCTGTCTTGTTTTTTTTTTTAATAGAATCACGGAATCTTTAGATGGTAGTTATGGATTTTTCTGGTAATTTGGAAAGTAAGATTATTCCAAGAGAGATTCTGATCAAAGGTTTTTGATTGTCAGGAGGAAACGAATGGGATAGTTATTGACATAAAGTAGAGGAGAGTAAAGAAGGTATTATGCTGCGGAGTATATGCTGAAATTTTTGAATATCAAGAGTCAAATAAAAATGAATAGTCAAATCTAATAAAATTCAATTGCAAATAAGAAGGTTAAAGGCAGAGAATGCTTGTTATTTCTTCATCTCAAAATTACTGGATTTGCATCTGACATCAATTTTCTATAAACCTTCAAATTACAATACACTACTAGATCATTATCTTTCCTACTGCTTTAGAAGTGTGAAATATGTGTTGAAAAATAATTACTTCGGGGTGTTTCGATATTCACGTTCTTGTTGAATATCCTGGCTTAGCAGAATCATGGGACATGAAGCTAGTAAATCATGATTATGCGAGGTATTAGCTATGTGGCATTTTAAATAGGGATATAATGTGCTGGAAAATATACATATTTCTGACAATCTAATTAGCTCTGGTTCAGTGAGTAAGAATCTCAGGATAAACTAAGATTTGGATAAATAGTTTGTATTAGGTTCAGTGATTGTTAGAGGTGCTATCATCGAATCTGTGTTCACGGAGCCATATAAGAAATGTCTCGTTGGGTTAAAATTACAACTTTTGAGATATAAATGTTGTTATTAAGGGTGTACAATTATATGATAAAACCAGTTCTAATATATATGGCTATGAGATCTGGACACTAACAAGTGCCCTAGAAAAATGTATTGAAAGATTTTCCAAAACATTATTTTCTGCATAATAACTTAAAACGATCTGGGATCAGAGTACTACTGGAGAAGAAAGATAAATAAGATCAATGCTTACAGAAACTGGTCAATCAATATCTCATGATAGAAAAGTATGGAGATGTACAGCTTGGAGCGATCCATTTGGATGGAAGCCTCTACATGATAATGACAAAAAGCAGATAGCTAGGTCAAATCAACAAAGATCCAGTAGAGTTACCTACAGATAACTGGAAAGAAATATCCCAAGCTAGACAGAGATGAAGTTGTCTTGTTACGACAGCAAAAGATCTTCAAGTTCTGTAATGCCAATAAAAAAAAAGTTATTTATGTAATGATTAAATTAACAAAATATCTCAAAAATGATCACACAGTTTAAAATGATATATGTATTCATTAAGTATTTAAAAGAAATTAAAATAATCCAACCTAATGTGTAATTTATCATATAATGAAGTTAAATGTCTGTTTTAATGGAATCCTATAAACTTCCTTTGTAAATTTTTGTATCTGTGATGTGCTGTATATTGCATCATTAGTTCCATTCCTAGTTTTCATGTTCTTTTGTATTTTTATAACTTTTTCTTCTTGAAGAAACCTGTGCTAAATTATATTTATATATATATAATTATACAACTTTTCCTTCATCGACCTTTGAGTATTAAATTCAAACTTCACTATTTTATTGGGAATAAGGTCACTTAATTATTATTTAATAAACTAATTAATGTTCATTTCTTCTGTTTATTGACGTTTCGATCCCGGTATTTTCTTTTTATTAGTCAACCATGGGATCCTCTTCAAAGCTAGAATTTAAAAAAAAATAGAGCTTCGATCAGGCCAGGGACACACCGACAGCCTCAGCACCGTCCACTAGCACATATATTAAGCTACTGTCCGGGATCGAAACGTCAATAAACAGAAGAAATGAACATTAATTAGTTTATTAAATAATAATTAAGTGACCTTATTCCCAATAAAATAGTGAAGTTTGAATATATAATTATATATATAGTGTGTTATATTCGTTATGACCATTATATCCTTTTATTTTTTAGTAGGAGTATTTTTAATTTTTATCAACCAACTTAATTTAATGGTTTTGACAACCGATAAATATTCGGTTGGTTTTTTATTTTGAAGATGCAAGTAGCGTTTTATAATTTTTCAGATCCTATAGTGCCACCCCACGAAACGCAGCATACTTCCCTGAAGAGGACCAAAGATCCACCAGCCCCTCAGTTACCTCCTTTGTATTCTCCTATTCTCGAAAGATCTGAGGTATATTTATTATGTTTATAATAATTATTATAATTGTTTATTTTATATGCATACCTATATTGTTATATGAATTATGCATATCTATATTGTTTAGTCTTCTAATAATTTTTCTGGTTCATTGTAAACAACTTTTATAATAATAAAATAACTAAATAAATTTGGGACAGAAATTATATAAAAGTTCTTCCAACTGTTATTAATTTCTCTTAACTAATGTTTCATGTTGCTTCATTATGCTGATGAGACCTCCAAACAAAACATGCTCAGTCAAGTTTTCTAAGTATTTCAAGAATACTGTTATCATTTTCTGTAGCCACTAATATCGAGTTTTTTTACAGTATTCTTGAAATTTTAGTTATTCATATTTTTGCTACATATATGTATACAGGGAGTGGGGTAGCTCAGTGGTGGGGGTACTGAGCTTTCAATGCTGAAGGTCCCAGGTTCCAATCCCGGCTCCTGACAGAAAAATCATTCATTCAGTTTCAATTATTTATTCTGGACCCTCCTGGGGCACACCCAGCCTCTATAAAATGGGTACCCCGTAATTAAATAATTGATTAGTACTGTTTTTACTGTACCGAAGACCCTTCATGGGTTTTACAGTGGTACAAGTTTATATATATATAAGTTTGTGAACCTCATGAAAAATTATGAAACAGGATTTAGTGTTTTTTTTTATTCTAAAAGCCTCTTGTACAAATTTCAATCTTCACTTTGACATCCTTAATATTATATTAATTCCATCACATCTGTGGTGACAGTTTTTGAAATGTTACGTTTCTTCTTGTTTTGAACATTTAATGAATACCAATAATAATTTGATTTAAAAATATATGCATTATAAATGAAATATATTCTAATTTAATTTCAAAGCCTTTAAAATTAATTATTTTGAATCATTTGTATTAAGTAAGGCAGCAACTTATCACTTATGTCATTTAATTAGTGCTGAAAATACAAAAATATGTTGTAAGTATATAAAATTAGATTCCTGTTTGGTTTCGCATGAATGTTACGATTTCGTTGTCATTAAGCCTAATTACGAAATTATTGTAACATAGAAAATATGTTAATTCTTAACAAACAATATTCACGGACAACTATATTTAAATAAATATGTAGTTTTTAAAAATATTATTTTATATATACACTCATTTGTGTGGGTGGGATTATTTATTTATGTGCATATGTTTCATACACATTGATAAAAAACTGTTAAAATGTAAATATTCAATGCCTTTTTGTTAACATTTAAAAAAAAACAATAGATGCTTTGAGAGTTTGAATTGAGTGTGAACTGAAACATAATAATAGGTTGTGAAATTCTTCGGGACACTTTTATGCATTACCCAGCCGGATGCCTGTTACCTGTATCATTAAATGGAAATAAGAAAGAAAATAGTTAAGGGCCTTTCACTCCAAAGATGCAAGACGTAAGATGCATTCTTCGTGGCTGCAGGATGCATGTGCGTCTTGCATCTTGACGAAAGGGCTTTCACACCAAAGATGCACGTGCGACTTGCACCATCTGTTTTTATCTATTAAAATATGAATAATCAATCATACTATTCCTGAGGCGACGAAATTATAATGCTCTCTTGTGCAGTCAGAAGAAGACAAAGACAATGAAGGAATCGTTTATTGCAGCATCCTTACAGAGCATCGTCCTGCTATTGTGACTCAACAATTACTGAACCACCCAGCAATGTTTCTTTTGACTTTTAACAAGTTGTTGGATGTTATTTAACTGTACTTGGAGCACAGTGTCTAATTGAAGTCTGACAAGAAACTGGGCAAGTGAAGCATGAGAGTCAGAGATGGGGTAGGGCTGAACAAGGTGGAAGGGGCGAGTGTGCAAGTACCACTACAACAAAGATGCTCACTAAAATCTCCATCCGGTTGGTTCTCGAGAGGAAAGTGCGTCTTGCATCTTCGGTGTGAAAGCTCTTGTTCAATTACGTGGTCTGGTGTTTTAGATACATGCATCTTCGGTGATAAAGGGGTATTGGGCTAATAAGTATATTTTAATATTATCTCATAAATTCCCTTATATTATTATTTTATTTTTTTGTTATTCTGCCCAAGACTTCCACTTCTATTTTCGTTCTTTGAGACTGAAATTTATAAATAATAGCTATTTTAATATAGACTTAATATTAATGATATCCTTCTCTTGTAAGGATATTGTTTTGATTTTTCCTTATGTTATGGGTTTTGTTTAAGATCAAATACCTAATTTATGAAGAATTAATGATGAATTGTCATCCTGCTTTTATTTTATTTATTTTTATTGAAGGCTGAATTTGTTTTCTTATTTTATTTATTTCATTTATTTATTTTTCATTTTTATTTTTTATTTTTATTTATTTATTATAATTTTTTTAAAGTTGGGAGAAGCTTATTATACATCAGCCCATTCTCTCCCGAATACTCCATCACCTATGTCAACTGCACAGTATGAACAAGTAAGTTTACATGCGTGCCTTTCTTTTTTGGGTTTAATTTATTTATTTATTTTTATCTTTTCTTTGTGTTGAGAGTTTTCAGCCCTGTTTTTGTGTGTATTTTTGTTTTCATTTGTTCAGGTTGTGTACATATTTGTAAATACTTAAGCTATGCTGTGGTATGCTATTTTTTACTGTTAAATTCTGTGTTATTTTTAAGAGTGGTTTTATTTTTTGTTCTATTAATGCTGATTCAAGTAAAAAAATTAATTTTTATTACAGCATTAATAGTAATGGTGGCAGTGTTTAACAATTTCAGACTCTATAAGAAATATATATAATAATTGTACTGTTTTTATTTATGATTTTTTTTTAGCATGTAGATTTCATGTTCTAATGAATATTCTTGCCTATCAAAAAACTTATTACATATAGTCCATGGTACAGACCCTTTTTCATCAAATTACTAACATCCGGCTTCGTTAATAGCTTCATCTCTTCATAACCTATAAATATGTTATTCACGAAAATTCTCAAAATGAGGTGTTTTGAATCTGGAGGTCGGCAAACTTTGTCCATTTAATTAGGTACTAAAAACTCGTAAATACCCATTTGCTTTCCTCTTGGATTGTAAGATAGTATGATCACGAAATCGATAAAAAAAAGGTGACCTACAAAAATATTTAGTGGTGTCGGCATACAAAAATATTTGGTGGTGTCATCATACAAAAATATTAGGCTGTTTGGCCTATATAACATTGTTATTTTTAACAATTTAAAGGTGTAGGTCACGCCAAATGGCTTAATATTTTTGAAGGCCATCTTTTTTCCAGACTTGTGCTCAAGTTATCTTACGACTCAAGTGGAAAGCAAATGGGTATTTATGAGTTTTTACTACCTAATTAAATAAACAAAGTTTGCTGACCTCCAGATTTGAAAACAACCTTATTCCGAGTATTTTCATAAATAAAATATTTGTAGGTTATGATGAGATGAAGCTATTTATGAAGTTTCAGGCAGAATCTCCTTAATTTAATCAAACGCATCTCTATTATAATATAATTTTTACAGCAAAAATTGATATGTTCTAATAATCTTCTCTTCTATATGATTCTACCAATCTAATGGTTTTCAATTTTTATCTTTATAAATCTTCACAGTCTTTTAATTCAGTTGAATAGATTTTATATTGCTTTGCCTGTCTTAAATACTCATTGTTTTAAAATATAGCCCAAGCCAGGAAGGCTTTGTAAATTTGATAATAGCTAATCGTGCTATATGCTTATGATTTACCATTATTAATGATTTCGCAATTAAATTTTATTTAATTTTATTTTTTACTTTACTAATTTATTTCTTAACAAATCATTCTTTGTACTCTTGCTTTATTCTCACCCCGAGAACTCGTGATTTCAGGGTGATTGAATGTTAATATATGAATTATAAATATAATTTAAATACTTATGCTTAATGAATTTTTAAAAATTAAGATCTTTATTTCCATTCTAGCAATTGAGTGTTGAAATTGCTGCTGAGCTGGCTATAATATTGTATGTGCCTAAGCATTCTGCTTCATGTTAAATGATTAAATCTATTATAATTCATTTTATTTTAACATTTTAAGCCATTTGCACCTAGCAAATTTGATCAATTAGGCATAGGCATTAACTGCAAGTTTTCCTTGATTAACTTAATTTTGTTAGTTTTATTTTAAAATGAAATATTATGCAGTGTTAGGTGCCATTTTTAATTAATTTTAAATTATGTTTTGATTTAAAGTAATATCAAAATCATCCAGGCCACTTTTGTTCGACATTTTTAATAAACTTATAGTTTTGAAGTGGCATTGTTGTATTTACTTCTCACTGTCTATTTTCTTAAATTTTTTATTTATTGAATTTTCAGTGTGCCTATTATAGTTTCAATGTGTTAAGTTATGCGTGTGTGTTTTTAAGTATTATAGAAGCGTATTTATTTTAATTTTTTTTTATCAGGGTGTTGTTTCATGGCACATTACTGGTATTTCATGCAGTTATGTTTATTTGATTTAAAACAATCCTAATAATTCTCTTTTTTTTCAGTTTAATGAATTAAACATTTTCTCTGTAAAAGTCAAGGTTTACAGAGGTGAAAATCAAGGATAATGTTAAGTCAAGATTAATTGTTAACTTATTCCTTCTTTATTTGAACATTTAGGTTCACTACTGTACTCTGATGGCTCAATGTCTTCCAGAAGCTTTAGCTGTCAATGGCATTGAGCACCTCATCAGGATCTTTTTCCAAAGTTACACATTTCTCTTGGCAGACGATAGATCCTCTTCCCCGATTCCATTGGCCTGATGTCCTCTCATTCGCAAACTTAACTAGTCAGTTGTTTGCTATCCTCAGTTGCATCTCTGCAAATCAGTCAAATGTTTTTTTGTCCGAATAGATAGTCACGTGTACCTTCTTTTTAAGGTAACAAACATACTTTTCTTTTCGCCCAAATTGTTAGTGCCCATTTTAACTTCTTCCATACTGTTGCCTGAAAACAACTATTCTATTTTGTAAAATTTCGCTTCTTTAAAGTTCTTGATTTTAGTCAACATTTTCTTTACTTTCATTTACTTGGTCAACATATAATGATAGAATTAATTTATATTTAATTACTTAAGTTATAAAAATTGATATAATTTAGTTAAATATATGTACAGTTGTGGCAATAGTAATTGCATTACCTATTTCTTTTGATTCTCGTTTTGATATGATGTTGATTCAATCGAATGTTTTACTTTACTTTTTTTGGTTATAAAAAAACTTTAAATAATGTACCTCAGTTCAGTTTTAATTAATGCCAGGATAAAAGCTGTAATCATGACAATTTGAAAAAAGACTGTCCTCGTCAGAAAATATTAAAATTGTGACGTTACATGAAGTAAAGGAATTTTTATGGGAAATAGCAATGAGAATATGGTACTACCAAGTTACAGCAGTCATAGTTTTGAAGAAAAAAAATTTCTCAGAGCACTATGAACTGCGAACAATTTGACTGCTTGATGATGCGATGGTTTTTTTACTACTGTTTTAAAACTGGCAAATAAATATCCAGCGATCGTGCAGATTGCAATCTGATAAATAATGTAAAATCTAATAGTAATTTTATTGGGTGATGCGATTGATCAGGACTGTGTTTTCCTTGATACGTCTATATCTCTAAAAACCGCCCATTCTATTTGGCTCAAATTTGGAGGAAAGTTAGGGATTGGTAAACAGATATTCAACCATGTATGAATTTTATCAAATTCGTTCCACTACTCCAAAAAACAATACTTCTGCTTTCAGATCTAGAATTTTATTATTTAACACGCCTATAGTTTGAAAACTGCTCGTCCAATTTGACCTGAAGTTTAAGGAAATTTGGAGAATAGTATAGAAATCACCCAGTATCAATTTCATCGAATTCCATTTAATAATTAAAATTAATATTAATAATTGTTAACAATATAATGGCTGTGAAATAGATCATCTGGAGTGGGAATTAGGTTAAGACTTTATTTTTATGTGGTTAAAAAATTAAAGGTTTTATTCAAAAAGTTAATTTATAATGTATTGCTTGGTCGACTCAAAATGTTACTGGCATGATACTTACTGTCGTTACTTAGATTTCGTGTAGTTTTCAGTAAATTTAAGTCTTGATATTTCCTCTTTCAGCTAACTGGGGTATCTTCTGATGTTTCTTAGTCACACCACTTTGTGAAATATCAGGTTGTTCAACCTGTTTTCATTCATGAAAACTGAATGTGCCTGAAATACTTTTTTCTCTTTTTCCTCATTGTTGTTTACAAGTATTCAGTTCCTTCTCACACAGCCTGTGTTTTTTGTTTTTTTAGGCCAGTACTTTTCTACTTTTCTTGGTCCATGGATACATCTTAGAATTTGTTTTTCTATTTTTAGTAGTGTCTCCAAATTACTAAACCCTATTATTTCCGACTCATGTATTATCACCAGTCTCACTCCTGTTTCATAGTGATCTATGTATATATATGTATCTTTTTATTGTTAGATTAAACTTAATGTTACATATTAACATCAAATTTCATTCATGACATCAGCATAAAATTTTTAAGCAAAATTACTATCAAAGTTAGCTATTCTGTTCTGACAAAAGTGAAGACATCTGCAATTAACTTAAATTACATCCTTTAAGAATCCTACTTCTAAATCATCTAATGATACATTTTTTTAATCAGTTGTAAATGTTTTTGTTTAGATTTTTAAATGTTCATTTTTGATACTGAACTATGCAGCCATTTCCATATGTTTTTGTTTTACAAATAATGAATTATTATTATGATATTATTGATATTTTAAAGAAAAATATTGCTACGTCCATTTTTTTGTTTTTAATTTACTCAATTTTCAAAATATTCATTATGATTACATTTCTATTATTTATTTAATAGTTTCTTCTGCTTTAGTATCCATACTCCATTCTTAAAACACTATCGTGCCCATTCACTGAATACATCATCTTAAAGCTATTGTTATGCTTGATTGTGATGCGAGGCATCACTGTGTCAATGAGAATGGAAATAATTTCTGAGGTTTGCTCTCTTAATATCTCACAACTTTTATACATTTTTCTCCTTTTAGAATTTAATTTTTCATTAATTTTATATAGTTATTATAATATATTGTTGTTTTGTTTTTTATAGTTGTCCAGGCTTGTCTTAAACAGGGAAAAAAAGTTACCATCAGACAGTGATATTGAAAAATATGCTCAAGATAACCTTAATATTCACAAGAAAGGCATCTTCAGGAAAAAATTTTCTGTTCGAGAACTTTTGTCTTGGTCAAAAGTAAGCGTTAATTTTATTTTTCTATGTTTTGATTCCTTTATTAGAATTTCTATATTTCCAATTGATAATGTTTATAGCAAGTTTTAATAATAATATTTTATTGACAATTTTTTATTGTATCAAATTTCTAACAGCTTAACATTGCTAAATATAAATTTTAAATTGTATGCGAACATTATGAATACTCAGTTTCATGATTATATTGCATTAGTTACAAAATCTTATGATTCAGGTAAATTTTGTTGGATTTAAGGAAACGTTTTTTAATATCTTTTGTAGTTTGTTTATTTTTACTTGCTGGATTACTATTTTTCACATTAAAAAATTAATTTTTTAATGAAAATCTTCCATAACAAAAATTTTGGTGGATTATTTCTAAAAATAGACATACTTTTATAGGATCATAAGAATAAAAAATGGTGTAAATGTTTTCTTTTACGTTATATTTCTTATATATAAATGAATGTAGAAAAAATGTGTAAGTACTACTGTTAAAACTTATGGTGGGGCAGCCCAAGACTTTAATGGAAGTCTTGGGCCAACCAAAAAATAAAAATTATAATAACATAACTTATAGTGAATAACTGATGCCTCTTCCTTTCGGAAATTAATTTAAACTTTCTATATAATTGTTTAAGTATCTAGGAACTAACAATAGCTAGAAAAATCAAAATGAACAGGAGATTAAGGTTACTCTGAAGACAGGAAAGCTTGTTATTTTTCTTTGACATAAGTACTTAGCTGGCGCCTCCTGTCCTGGAAGAATTAGAATCTATAAAACCACTATCATACCCATGGTTCTTTATCGATGCCAAAGTGGCCGCTTACATTAAGGGATGAAGAACGTTTTTAAGGTTTTTGAAAATAAAGTATTGAGTGGTATATTCGGAACGAAGAATGATGAGTTAACCTGGGAGCTTAGACGGTTCCACGGATTGCGTATTACATTAACTTTATCCGGTTAATGTAATTGAGGTATTAAGAAAGGAATTCCTAAAAGGTTAATATTTAATATGCCGAAACAAGGAAACGTCTGAGGGATATACCGAATCTAAGGTGGGAAGATTGCGTTAAGGTCAATGTGGAGGGACTGAGTTTGGATGATAGCCGGTGGAGGGAGGTTTGCAATTTAATGTTTGCTAAGTTTTATTGTTATTATTTATAAAATTATTTTATAATGTATGCTGTGCTATATAGATCAGGTCATGGATAGATGAAGACAGCATGTCCTATTGTTTTCACTTTTTTCATTTTAAACAGTTTTTGTGCCTTTCCCCCAACGCTGCAATGACAAACACACACAAACTCTTAGTTGATTAAAACCCATCTAACAGAGATCTCTACGTACTCTTGTTCTAGTTAATATTTTGTATCAAAATATTGCAGACTGTTAAATTAAACTGTTTTTATTTTAATGATAAGAAATAAAATAAAAAATTTCAAATATTTAAAAAACTTTATTGAAATACAAATATCTGTTGGGGCAAGCTACACTAGTACTTTTTGCAGGTGCCGTTTGTTTTGTAGCTCAACACACAGGGAAACATAAGTGAACCAAGCCGAAATTGCATTTACATACTTGTTTGGTATGATTTTAGTAATTTATTTAATGTTTTTTTTTTTTTTTTTTGCTGATCACAAAAGGTACTCATCATCACCATAAGTTTAATTTAAAAATATTAAAATAGTTACTTTTCTAAAAATAAAAAAAACAAAACAAATTTTACTTAAAATTTCATAAAATTTTATTTTGCAAAACTATTTCTGATGAATTAAGAAGTAATTAATTTTAAAAAAAAGTCTACTATTCTCGTGTCTAGTAGAACCAGTTTAAATCCTGGGTGGGTTGAAATTTATTTTGTGGTGGAGCTACTATTGTTACAATTGGTTTGGTATGGTTATTTGAAAAAATAAATAAATAATATATTTAAGTAAGTTCAAAAATGACTTCCATTGAAACTTTAGCAAACGAGAGTTCTTTTCGAATCCCAATTTCCTAAATAATTTCTTGATTCAGTTAATCCTATATTTCGTAAAACCAATTAGGGAAATTATTAAATTTTGAAGGAGAAAGTTTTTGAAGATTTTTGAAAAATTAGAGGTGTTAATGTAAGCCTCAAAAACAAGTTTTTTGGAAGGTATTCTCGGTCATCAAATTGATGAGAGGCCTTAAATTGTTGACATAGAAATGAGTGGAATCAGTGATAGAAGTGGCTGGAATAGTCTATATTTCGGTTAGTAAGCTCAAGAGATCAATATATTTTAATTTATTATTAATTATATGAAAAAATTAAGGACTTTTTTTTTTTTTTCATTGGTACATTTTATCTTTAGAGAAAATTTTCAATATTCTACTCTATAGAGAGCTTTGTTTTTTGTTTAAAAGGATCCAATAAGAAAACCTATGCTAGTCTTGTCAGATAAAGCCCTGAAGAAGGAAGCTACTGAAGTATTTAAGATGGTTCAGACCTACATGGGAGACAGAAAGGGGAAACAAGGTTCGAGTCCAGATGCGGTTCTTCTAGATATCTGCCTCCTCGCCCATGCCAAGGCCGCTCTTCGAGATGAATTATACATCCAGATCTGTAGGCAAACTACTGAAAACCCTAGGAAGTACGTTTGTCGTCTTGTCTTGTTTTTTATATTAAGCGCTCACAGAATAAGTAATTGATCAGCAACATAATACTAAAATTTTGTCTTTTGTAAAATAAACGAATAAATAACAATATTATAATATCAAGTATTAATACTAAATATTTCTTTTTCTAGGAAATTTTATGTGGTTAAGTTTATTTATATATATATATATATTTTTTTTTAATTCAGAGATAGTTTAAGAAAAGGTTGGGAACTCATGGCAATCTGTCTCTATTTCTTCCCGCCATCACCAAAGTTTCAAGCATATCTAGAAGGTTATATGAATAGGTAATGTGTTAATGTATTTTCCCTTCTCTTTTGTATTTTATGAGTGTGTACCATTATCAATATATTTTCATAGTGTAATTGCATTTATTTATCTTGAAAATATTTTGTTGTACCTAGTAAAATTAATTGTTTCAAACTGGATTTAAATTCCATTTTACTGTTCTCAACACAATCCATCTTTTTCACAAAAAGATTTTATTTATTTTTATGTTTTTTTTTAAGGCATAGAGACCCAAGTTATGACTTTCCGGAGGTTGGTAAATGGCCAATTCACGTTCAGGTCAGCCATTATGCAAGTGTCGCTTGTAAACGTCTCCAAAGGATAGGTGTCCACGGTAAGAGGCCTATCAGAAAACCAACGTTAGAAGAAATAGAGCAGGCTCGGGTAAGTTATTTTCTCATTAATATTTCATCACTATAGAAGGAACATGGCATACTCCATTCTGTCCACTCTTCTAGAAATTACAATGAGCATTGTTGGTTTTTTTTTGCTAAAATGGTGTGATAAACTCAATTTTATTTAAAATTAAGATATGCCATGTTGCTTCTTCAGTGGCTATTTATAATATTTTAATTGTTCCTTGTTGTGACATGTTTAATGAACTAGAACGACACACTTAAAAAAAACAACTCATTCTGATACTCAGGGGTGTGGTACACTCCAATATATTTTATATGTTAACATAATGTAAAAAGTTAACATTTACATCGCTAACAAATAAATAAAAGATCAATATTTTTCTATTGAAAATACATTAAGTTTATATCTATTAAATATATATATATGGAATGTAAAATATATACATAATAAAGGAAAAAATTATTTGAGCATTTAATTGACTACTTACAACAATCCAAGCAAACTGTCACCCTGTGTTCATTGCAGATACATCTCTTACTGCTTATTGCTGACAAACCATTTTTGTCTTCATATCTTTCCCTCTCTTTCATAATAATAATTTGGCTTCTTTTTCCTACAGGGCTCAAGTAACGAATAACCTAATCCAAATAAATATAATAATTTCTCCATTTCATCTTCTTTTCCCAGTTAACTAAGCTGAATATCATGCTGTTTATACCAGCATGGTTCAATATTCCAGAGAAAAATCGTAGAGACACTCTCCTTTTTTTCTTGCTGTTGACACACATGACATATTTGATCAAAAGTTACCGTGTCATCTTTATTTAATATGTTCCATGCATCTTTCCTTCATCTTCTAACTCCCGTAACAATTTTATGGGTTTCTTGAGGAGAAGAATACATTTTTTTGGTAGTTGCCACACTAAAAAAATATTTTCTATATATTACCGTCTGAATTGAAAATATCACTAATTAACAAACATAACATTAGATATCCACACCTGAATTATTTGAACTTTCAGAACAGTTGCATTGACAGCAAACTGGGGTTTAGGATATCCCATAATGACTGTAATTAGCCGGGCTATGTATAATGTTCATTTACATGAAGAAACTTGGCGAAAGACCTACTTATATAAAAGTAAATTAATATTGAAAAGGTTGGGTGTGTCGTTCTAGGGTTAACAATGTGTATTAATAGGTCATTTTCTCTCTTCTGATATGCATCCCATACTAAATCGTTGGTTTGACTGGAGATTGATTTGTCAAAGGTCAGACCAGGTTGATATGAGGGTTCTAACTGCATTTACATAAAAAATTCTTGAACATTTAATACAAGGATTGCTTAAAATCTGGCATAAATAATGTAAAATTTGATTGTTTACATAATATATTTTCCGAAGATTTTTATCTTCTAAAATTTTAGCATTATTTAGTATTTCATGTTTTTTCTAAAAATTATGAAAATATCACATGTTGTTTCTGAAACAACACATTCAAATATGTTAAACACATAGAACAGAACTTAACTAATAATATAATTGCTGTAATTTCATGCTTATCTCTCATTAAAGCAATTAGAAATATATCATATTGTGGATAGCAACTTTCAAAATTTGTCACTAGTTAGAACTATGTCACTCTGTTAGTCTCCTTATTTTTCATTTTATGGTACTGAAATTCATTTGGAAGATAGACAATAATGTTGTGAATGATCTCTAAGTGAAAACTTTTGCCCAAATTTGTTACCTTTTCCAAACCAAATTTGTTACCTACAAAATATCATAATAAATGTTTAATAAAATAAAAGTTCATGAAGGATAGATATGATGTTCAAAACATTTACCAAGTGAAAAAGAGTTAATAATTCTAGGAAACAAATTATATGGGCCAAGGAGCCTTAGAGATACATAAATAAAAAACAGAGTAATTAAACAGTCATAGTAAAAAAATGAAAAATTATATGAGGACTTAGTCGGGGGTGCAGTCAAATAAATACTCAATTTAAATATAGTAATTATTTTAATTTTTGCCGACGTTTCGACCCACTTTGCAGGTCGTCTTCAGGGCGTAGGATGTAGCACTGCGGGAGGCAGTTGAAACACTAGGTTGAAAAATTATAAGTTACTTTCTAATTTTAATCAGTTAATAATATATATATATATATATATATATTATATATATATATATATATATATATATATATATATATATATATATATAAATGAATGTATGTTTGTATATGACTTGCAAGTTTACTTATGTTTTGTTAACTATTCCAAGGCATTTGATTCGATCAGACATAAATATATTTGGGAAACTCTAAAGGAATGTGGTGTAGACAAACTCTACATTGATGTAATCACTGAACTATATAGGAATGGAAAGGCATTTATAGCTTTAGATAGAGAAGGTGATTATTTTGAAGTTGAACGAGGAATTAAACAAGGGTGCCATCTATCTCCAATTTCTTCAATTGTGTTCTAAACAAACTGTTTAAAGAATTAAATTAGGAGAAGCAGGGCATATCAATCAATGGGAAGACACTGAGCAACCTAAGATTTGCTGACGACATATGCTTAATATCCCCGAACATGGATGGCCTTAAAGGAATGAGTGGAAACTAGTAAAAAATATGGACTGAAAATGAATATGTGAAAAACTAAAATAATGACGAACTTCCCTGTAATTCCAATCTATGTAGATAATAAACAGGTAGAATACGTAGAAGAATACATTTATTTGGGTCAAACAATATCATTCAATGGAAAAATGAGTAAAGATATCGACAGAAGGATAAAGGTACAAATATTGGTCCCTCGAAACGATTTTTAAAAGCAATATAGCGATAAATCTTAACGCCAAAGTTTTGACTACTTGTGTTTATCCTACGATTCTATACGGGGCACAAACTTGGACATTGACTAGGAAACTTGAACTCAGATTGAATGTTATGCAGATGAAGGTTTTAAGGAGTTTAATGTCAATCAAAAAGAGAGAAAAAACAAGAAATAAAGACATTCTTCGAAAAGTGGATATTAAAAGCTTAAGGACTGAAGCTCATCGGTCAGGTCATGTGATGAAAGAAATGGAACTGGGTGCTGTGAAGAGGAAAGGATTTTGATGGGAGTGTCAGTGATAAAGAGGTCTAACCAAGTATCGGAAAATTGTATGATGGAAAGGAGCTTAAGTAGGAGAATAAGGAACAAGATGAAGTACAAGAATAATAGTACAATAAATTTGAATTTTTTTCTCTTCTATTCCGTTTTTTTTTTCTTACATTTTTCTATATATGTAATAATATACATATATAGAAGTAAGGAAAGTATTGCGATCGTGAAGATTTTTTTAATCTGAGTATTCATCGGAAATACAGGTCTCTCAAGTCAAAATAACCAAGTCCCGCAAACTGGTCTGTATTTAAAGTCTCGCTCAAAAACGAAAAGTCGTAATCAACTGAAATTTTGTATTTAAGGTTTGTATGTACATGCCTGATATGTTATAGCAACTTTTTCGTCAAAATCGTCTAATTGGAAGTGCCACTTAATCATATCATAGGTTTTACACATTTTACAATTTTCTCATAAATTGCTCTAAGGATTTTGATTAAATTCATTATATCCATGTAATATTAAGCTGTTCTTAATATAATATACATGCCTTATCCTCATTGATGTTCTCTAACAGGATTTAAGTAACTAATTTTCTGAGGGGAAATATTGGTCTAGTTAATTCTGAACAAACAAAAAGTTTAATTTTTCCAATGAAGTTTTTGTTGCATCCATTTTACTAGTGAAAAAATAGCTATAAATATACACCGCTATTGTTATTGTAAAAAGGTCGTTTGTAACAATTTTCCATTTTTATTCTATTGGTGCTCAAGGTGACATTTCGTAGTATGCAACAGATATGGGTAGTAGCCTGGTACTATGAAAAATAATAATAGAATTACAGTAGTTCCGAAAATGATTTCTCCTGGAGATTTTATCCTCCTACGAAAAAATATAGATATTGTTCAATCAATGAAAATGTTGAAGCTATTCTGGCCTTACTTGGCAGACGTTTTTTTATTTGTTTTAATTAACTATTTCACATTGTTAACTGATATAAAAATAGAAATAGTTAAATATAAGGAATGAAGAAAATTGATTGGTAACTAATAGAGAAATAAGGATAAGAAGCTATATTATGGAAACTGCCGAGAGTACCTTAGCTGGTCCTCTCCCTTTGCAGGTCAGGTACTTGATACTCCTCTAACCAGGACTTCCATATTATTAGTTTAACTTTTATATATCACTTATCCTTAATTTTTTAAAAAGGTTTTCACAAAAAATGTTAATTAATGATCTGCTAATATAAACCTAATATTTACTAACGGTAAGTTATTTTTTCGACATAATTTGTGATAAATGTTTCCGATAAAACTCAGAATTTTTCCAACAAATCTATTTTTCCTCTCAATCATTAATATTGTTTGATCCTATACACAGTTGTAAAAGGAAATGGAAACTGATGCAAATATATAAATTTAACTGATTTTTTATTCAGGAAAAAATTGTAATTAATTGTTTTATATAATGTTACGCCGTCATTTTTATTTTTACTTCCCTATAATGAAAATACCTATATACTCTGAATTTGATAAGTGAAAGTTGTATGATGCACGACTGCCCCAGATTTTTTTTTAACTTGTTAATGGAATCATTAATTATTTGTTTATTTTATTAGTATAGAAAGAGTTAGCAATAATCAGAAATGTTAACTTCGATTTAAATATTGTATCACCTTACAATATAAATTTGGTCTATAGAGTTTAAAGATGAACAGATGAATTAGAATAGTTTCAGACTAAATTAATGCTATAGAAATCAATGATTAGAGGGAGATTTAAAGTGATTCTGATTTAATTTATATTCATCAAGCTTAAGTTTTTTTCAATCGATATTTTTATTTTTTCCAGTTACAAATATTCCGGCCGAGTATGTTTGGTTCTACGTTAGAAGAAGTTATGGCCTTGCAAAAAGGAAGGTTTCCCCATTATAAACTTCCCTGGGTCCAGACGACACTTTCCGATGAAGTCCTGAGGCTGCAAGGAACACACACAGAGGGCATATTCAGGTAAATCTTACAACCAAAAAAAAAAATATATATATATATATATTGGAAATTATTAAAAATGGTTTAGTAAATTAATAATGAACTGTTAAAAGGCAAGCTAACCTAGTTCTGCTAATGTCAGGGGTTCTTTAAATTTAAAAAAATAGTTTCACTAGTTCAGGGAAAATAAATTGGCTGCTCTGTATTCTCCTCAGAAAGGAAAATCCCTAAGAGGAGAGGAGTCACAAAGGATTTTGTTTTGGGAAGCAGTTTGTGTTTGGCTGGGGTAAAGTGATGATGGGAGAAGGGATCCTGACTCCAGTGGGTAAAACCCAGCAATAGCATTACCATCTTGGAAGTTGTTGTTTGGCGGAACATAAGAAAATGTGTGAAGACAAATGAATTCAGTGCCACAAAGGAAGAAACAGTATATATATAGAAAAAAGATTAGCTTGCCAAAAAAAATAGAAAAATTAGTTGATTAAAATTATATTTTTTTCATAAATTTACAATAGTATGTATTTTTATGAGAAATAACATATTTTATAAATAATAAAAGTTCACATATAAAACGTAAACTTACTCATTTGTGATAAAGCTTATTCTGCCTTCATTGAGGGTTTATTATCTTGCTGGTCATCTTTTTCTTAATTATAATATGTATTCTAATAATTTAAATAACTTATCAATATTTAATGAACTTTCATATTATCCTTATTAATTTTTATACAAACATAGTTCACTCGATAGACTCAGAGACTAAAAAAACATATTCACCTTATATATGCAGCACGAGTGTAATTCTTTGAAATGGTGATACGCATATTGTATAGCTGTAATTTACATGTATTCTGTCGTTCAGATCTTACTATTTTTTATCAACATTTTCAATTTCTTTAAAAATCTATATTATATCACGCATTATTGCCAATTTGTAACCATTACAAGGGAAAAGCAATTCTAGGAACAAGAATTGTTGGTGTCTTCGTTACAGTCTGTTCCCCTTTTATATAAAATGAAATATGACACAGTCATTACAATCTTTTTATATAACAGATATATATATATTTACATATATGCATCAAAGAATATTTCTATCGACAGCCTATGATCGGTATATCAATTTGTTTTAGTTCATCTGATTTTTATTATTTTATATTTAGTTCTGACTAATCACAAAATATGTATTTAGGGTCTCTGCTGACGTGGATGAAGTTAGTGGCCTGAAGCAGCAACTCGACCGATGGGAGAGGCCAACCGAGTACACCGATGCTCACACGCCTGCTTCTCTTCTCAAGTTATGGTTAGCTCAGTTCATTTCCCTATCATTTCTATTTAGTGTTTACCTGTCGATGCTTTTATGATTAAAAAAAAAAAAATGTCTAACGTCTAATTGATGTAGCAGCATTAGATATGATCTGTAATCATTAGTATAAAAATTGTATTGATATTAACTGCACTTGATTGATCTAATTTGTTTATTTTTTTTTAATAAATAAAATTAGTTAAACGATTTTCGATTTTCTGTACAGGTATCGAGAATTGTATGAACCTTTGATACCTGATTCCCTTTACGAAGATTGTATATCTTGCAGTGATGATCCAAGTATGGCCGGCGCAATTGTGGAAAAGTTACCTCCACTTAATCGAATGGTTCTGGCATATCTTATAAGGTTTTTGCAGGTAATTGAATTTTTTTTGTTTACTCTAACCATAAATTATCACAAATCAAATTCTGAAAGTTTGTTCAGTCAGGAAGAAATGTTATTCTGTTAATTAATTTAGATTGTAGTACATACTTTTTTTTTTTCGATGAGAATTTACCTGCTCCTTCCACCTCAAATCCTCAGATGACAGCACCTTTAAATTTGGGGTGGGATGGCCGAGCGGGCTAACATGTATGCACAGCACCCAAAGTTAGAGATGTAAAAATAATTACGAGTGTAAATCCGGTACTTTTACCTCGGCATAATTTCCCCAGTCCAGGAAAAACCCTGTGTAGCCTAAAAACCAAGGAAGGGAAAAAAGAAGAAAAGAAAAGAAAAAAAATCCTTGCATTAACTTAATAATGAATTTCTATGATAATGATGAGGCTTTATTAGGGAAATAATAAAAACAAAAAAGCTATTCCCACCTGTTCCTAAAATAACTCTATGTAAGGTGAATTGTATACTTCAAACTGTCGGCTGAATAAATACCTCTTAAATCTGTTTGCTGAGTCACAAATCTGTTGATCCTGCATTATGAAATATGAAACCAGGTATCACATAATATGTTTTAACTAAAATGCGAGATTCATCTAAACTGGCCTTTTTGAGCAGAATAGAGGACAGTGTACATTAAGCGTCAGTGAGGTCACAGTGCGTCCATGCCAGGATTTGAAAAACATTTTATAATTGTCATTAAATTTTGGAAAATCGCCTTAAACAAAAGAAATTGCTAATATCGATTTTATAGTTACAAGAGTAAATATATTGAGTTTAAAATGTTAGTAAATACATTTTTATAGTTTTTAAAACTTTGTTATAGTTATTATTTTATTTTGCAGATTTTCGCTCGCCCCGAGGTAGTTGCTGTCACAAAGATGGATGCCAGTAATCTAGCAATGGTCATGGCACCAAACTGCCTTAGGTAGGTCCTAGTGTTTTTATATTTGCTGTTGTGTAATAATGTTTGATTTGGATTAGAATATATCAACCTGTTATTTTTTCCCCTATACTGATCTTTTGATAAATGGAAAATTATTTCATTGATTCCCCTGGATGGTGAAGACTATATTTGGATGTTCAGATATAATTAAATTATATTTCCATGTATATAATTAAAAATTGTGCGAAATTAAAATAACATTTCTAACACTTGTTGCACCTTTAAAAAGAATATAAATTTACTTTTATTATATTCTTTAAGATATATTCTTTGCCCCTTTTACATTTACTATGTTTATTGTATTCAACAGATATGTTATGATAAATTTAAGAGTTCTTACAAATATTTATATAAGCAAAGACATTACGTAACTAAAACAGTAACTGTTTCGATGTTTATGTTACAAAAAATGGCATATGTTGGCCAGATTAGTAACTGGATATTTACAGTAAATTTGTATTGATAACCCTCTCTAACACTTAGATCATAAACAGTCTAATTGGTTTAACCAATAAAATTCTTGAAGAAATTATTACACTTAGCCAACTAAAATTTCTACTGTGGTGGTCCCTGGTGATCAGTCTTGGGCAACTCTTTAGATAGTTTTGTTAGTTAATACAAAAAATAAGTTCAAAATTTTTCATACAATTTACAAGTTTTGAACAAATCTCCCAACTGAAATCTATCAGAACATCTTGTCTACGATTATATTTTCTGTGATTATTTATTTTTTAATCAAGTACTTAGCATTTTAACATTATATCTATTTGGTTTATTTATTTTTGTTAATTTTACTACATGTCAATATGTGAGTTGCAGGTGTTATTGTGATGAACCCCGCATCATGTATGAAAATGCACGAAAGGAAATGGCTTTCATAAGAACTCTTATCCTGAACATGGACACAGCATTCATGACGGGCATACTCTAGTCGAAAAAATACCACCTGTGAGTAGTGAAAAGAAATAACTTCAGATTAACGTATTCCCCACATTTTAAAAAATCACTTGCAAAATTGAGTAAATATTGAATCTAGTCCTGTCATAAATATTGTTACAAGGGAATATATACAGATTTCAACAGAAAAATTAATTTTTTCAAAAACTTTATTAGAAAATAAAATGGATATCTATAGAGTAAAACAAAAAAGAAAGTACTCAAAATGTTCTTCTTTTGCCTTGACACAGACATTTAATCTCTGTGTCACTTTCCAAATAACTTTGTCTCATTGATTATTTTCTTATTTTTTATTATTAGAGGAAGAATTCGGGATTACTTAACAAATTAAATCTTAGATTGTGGGAATAGTTCCAGGAGTGAAATAAAAATATTGCATTCCACCATCAGATATTTTAAAAAAACAAGTATAATAATTGAATAATTAAAATGCCATAAAGTTACGTAATATATACATGTATTCTCGAACATCTCAGAATGGTTACAACAATCAGTTTTTTTTTTTTTTTTTTAATTGATTTGAGAATATAACAAGACTGAACTTATGTGAACATGCTAAATTGTCCCATTGAAAATCTACTGTAGAATTGTTAAATAAATTATGTGTGTTTACTATGCACAATGAGAAATCAGGGAATTACTGAATACTTCAGAATTTTATTTTGAGTAAGCCTAAATTGAAAAATGCTAAGCTGTTACACGTATTTCAAATACTTTATGTAATTAACATGGTTATAACATAGATCTAAATGGTCTTTATTCTTTAATTAAACTCTCTTATCTTTGTATTGATTATTCAACAATATATTTTATGATATTAATTGTTGTTTATTAATTTCTATTATTTTCTTTTTAGATGTGGCCCAGGCTCAAAATTCAATTGCTTCATCAACCTTAGTATATACCAAAGCTTAGTTTTTAAGTTTTATGTATTTGTATGTATATATATGAACTATACTTAATAGTTAATCATTTTAAATCTCAATTAACAGATAAATGATTTCGAAAAAAAAAATTCAATGTCAAGAAGGGAATAATTGCCTCGATGGGAGGTTTTATTGCTTTAATGTATATAGATATTAAGTCTCGGATAATCATGTAATTTCTAGTTAGGTGTTGAAGAGAAGCGGTATGTCAAAACTATTAACGTTGAGTAATATTTAATTAACGCATTTTTATATAGCTTTAAATTAATATAACAGTTATAAAAAATACAAAAAACATTTAAGCTTATTTTTTTTGTAATTTAAGTGGGCTGTTAATGTTTTTGTTATCACTTTCTTTTTTGGATTCTTTACATATATTTATTATTTTTTTATTTTGTTACACATAGCTGATACTTTAATGTGATTAATAGGGAATAATTTTTGAATTGGTTATTGGAGGTACCCTGTAGTTAGTGCCTCATTTTGTAAGATGTTAAGCAAATTTTTCCTGCCTCAAACACTAACTACATGCATCGGCTTTGCATATAAATGATGGATGTTATTTTTTAATTAATTCATGGAAATGTACATATTTATTTGTTTTTATTTCAAATTTGTTATTTCATTTTTGTTCATTTTTTTTTTTTTATGTAAACCTATTGAGCTCCATATTGCTAATATAAAATTATAAAATAGATACATTAGAAGAAGAGATATTTTTGTCATAAACATACAAATATTATATACCTAAGAATTATGTATTTGAAAATAATATTAAATACAGAAAATTGTGATATTATTTCCTGTTGTTAAGTCAATTGTTATTACAAAAAATGGGGCCCGATAGTATAACCTATATAACCAGTTTTGTATAGAGCTCTCCTGGACTGACACATTTCTAATCAGCTGTGGTTCACGTACTTCTTTTTGTGTACAATGTTAACTGTGTAAGTGTGTTATTAGTCAGTTGTTTATATTTATTGTTTTATTTTTTAAAATTTATTTGTCAATTTAGCTTTTAATTAGTTTATTTATTCAAGGCACAGTCTCTGCTTCCTTTATTTGACCTTATTTTATTTTATTTTTTGTAATAATATTGTACCTGCTTCTCATGTATTTTTCTTTTCTTTTCTTTTTAAAAGAAATAACTGTTGTTTTTTGTTAATTTTAATTGATTGTGTACTAGTTTAATCTAACAATTTTGATTGACCAGCCATTAACACATCTAAATTATTACAGTATTTATTTTTTTAAATAGATGCAAATTGTGTATAAAGGTTTAATTAAGTAAAAACTATTTGATGATTGAATTGTTATTTACGCACCAGTCAACATTTAAATGCCTGCTTCCCTGGTAGAAATGTCTGAGAATTATAATATAATTTATTAAATTTTTTGAGTTTTCTCATTTCTTTTTATTTCTTACTTTTTTTTTTTTTTTTAAGAAGTACAAATACGAAGCACATATCAAAAGTTTTAAAAACCAAAAAGAATTCTTCTTTCGTGCCAAAAGGTCAGAGGTCAGAGACTATTGCCTTGTTGCTTACAATTACAAAAGTTTCCTTTTAATAAATATGTTTTGTCAAACACTACTATTTAATGTAGCTTTCTACATTTTTTTTTATTTCAAGTGCAAATGAAGATTTAAGAGTAAAGCGATAGGATTAAAGGGACTGTATACTTTTTAAAACTCCTTATTTAGAAGGAGTGCTTTCATTATGTGTATCTAGTGTATTTAAGTTACCAAGAAACTTACGTTAAAAGGAATATAAGATTTATTACTAACAAATGACACAAATTCATGTTGCTTATTATTATCTTTTTTTTTTTAATTCTTTTTCTATCTATTATATGTTTTGTATTTCATAAATTAAGTTTTTACCTTTGGTAATATTATAATATAACAATTTTAAAAATGTTTTCTTCTTTTATTTTTAAACCAAATATCTGTTTTTCTTGTTCTTTTAAAATTACTTTAGAAGCTAGTTCTTCTATTCCTATTAATTCCTCAAGTGTATTCAATTTTTACAATTATATTTTTTTCTAATTCGATTGGTGGTGTCGGCATCGAACCTTCGGGTTCACTAAGCCTTATTATTATTATTATTATTATATTTTTTCTAATAATTACTTTTTCCCTAGTTATTTAGAGCAATTTATCTTCAATTCTGTTTATTTGTTTAAGTTTCAGTAGGAAAGATAAATTGTAGAGTAAACAAAAAAAAAACCAGTTGCGGTCTGCGCGTCTTCCACTAGTGACCGTTCAAACGCAGCCGTGCCAGAATAGCGTTAACTGGTCAGCATAGCACATATTTTATTTTAGGGACTCTTTCGTTACTAAGCCTAGAAATTTTACATGCTCATTTTATTCGCAATATTATCACCTCAATTAAATCAACTGGATCCAATTCATTCATACAACTGCCAGGCAACCTGAACAGAAGTTGCCATGATAAATAAAATACGACTTTGCATCCCGGTACCATAGAGAGTTTTAACTCCGTCATTATTCCCCTAGCGTGAAGCAAACAATTTTATGAATTATACTTTCTTCTATTCAATATTTACTGAATACATGAGGAAAATATGTAATATTTTAATTTGTGTTTCTGAATGTGAGAGAGGTCAGAATTAACCAGAAATACCTAGTAAATAATAAAGTATTACTGATTGTAAGATTGTGCTGTGTGGCTATCAAAATTAGGGGATAATTATAGTTGTAGTGTAAATAATGAATAAATCTTTAATTATGAATTTTGCAGTATATTGTCATTATGTAGTCAGAGAGACTAATAAAGTGTTAATAGTGAAGTAAATTATGTTATAACATGTCAAGAAAAGGGGCAATCGAAAATGAGAAGTTTTAAGATTCTGGGAATAAATACTAACCTTCACAACATTGTTAAATGTTTTGATTATTTGTTAGTTTATCACTTAACCAGAAGAAAAATATTCCAACAAAAATTAGTTGTAATTCTCAAATTTTATTTTTAAAAAAAAACATAGAAGGAACTAAGCTTTCATCTGTCTTAATTTTGTAATGTTTGGATTCTAATGGGGTGTTATTCTTAGATTTTGGAAAACGTAGTTAAAATAGAATAATTAGAATTTCAAAATAGAAGGGATTACACAGCATACTCCAAATAGCTGTTTTATTTTTATCTTAATAGCCAAGAAACTTACAGTAAAAGGAATATAAGATTTATTACTTACAAATAACAAAAATTCACTTTGCGTATTATTTTAATTTTTTTCTGTCTACTATATGTTTTGTATTTCATAAATTAAAAATGTTTCCTTTTATTTTTAAACCAAATGTCTGCTTTTCTTGGCATTTTAAATTTACTTTATAAGCTAGATCGACAAATTTACTAGTACTGTACCCACAGAGCTTCAACGAAACTAATTTTGAAGGGCATTATACACGTTATTAAACTCTTATTTTCTACCTTGTAAAATTTATTAAAATTGAGTAAGGAAGTTTTCATTGCCTACCACCCATAAGTCTAAAAAAGTGTTACATGAGCTGTAAGTGGATTATGTAATTTCAGAGTGGGAAAATTCATTAAATTTTTTCCTTTTTTTTTTTTATTAAGGCTTCAACCACTAGGGTTATTATTGCCTTGTTTTCATTGAGAATTAGATTGTATTTTCAAGTTTAGAACATTTCAGAAAAGTAAATAAGTTATCATTTTCATTCTTATTGTCCTGTAAAATAAAGTGTAGATCGTGTTGTCACAAGATAGTCTAAATGTTTCGTAAGCTCTCCATTCTGTTAAAATGTGTTTCACTGTCAGAGGAGTCCCACAGGTTTGGCATGTTGGCGAAGAATCAGGGGCCATCAGGTATCCATGAGTAAGGGTCTCATGACGTCATACATGAAGAAAACCTCGTATCAGAAAACAAGATGGCGGCCGGGCACACTCAGCCTCCGAGGGAAGAGTGGGGGGAAAATATGGAGGTCGCACGACCGAAAAGGGGCGTGGAAAATGGTCTCGTGACCGATCACGTGACTAAAAAGGGGCGTGGCTAGGTGGTTAAGATAGGG